GAGGGATCAACACTGAGACCCAGTCAGAAAATGGAATTTACAAAAATCAACAGTAAACTGTTAATGTATTGCCTGAAAGCTTTTAATATCTTCTCTTCGCTGATAATTTCCAAATTTATATCTCCAGCTTAGATCTTTCCCCTGAACTCCAGAATTCTCTCTCCAGCTGCCTACTTGACATCTTCACTTGGATATCTAACTAGGATTTTAAACTTAAACATTTAAAACTGAGCTTTTTAACCCCAAATCTTATCTTCCTAAAAACCTTTGCATTTCAATAAATATCAACTCTGTTCTTCTTATATCTCAGTCTAAAACCTTGGAGATATCCTCAACTCCACCCTCTCACATGCCATATACAGCCATCACCAGCTCTTTCTTGACAATGAAATTGGGATCTTAACTGCTTCATACCAGTTGTACTGCTTACAACCTGGTCTAAGTCACCATCATTACTTCATTAGCCTTCTAATTAGTCCCCCTGCTTCCACCATAGTATCTAACCCTTCACTCTATTTTCAGCATAGCAACCAAAGTGATCCTGTTAACACATAAATTGTCACTTCTCTTCTCAAAACCTTTAGTGGCTTCCCTTCCTGCTCAGCCTTTATAGTGGCCTCCAAAGCTCAACATAATCTGTGCCCCTGCTCTGTTACCTGTCTGACCTCATCTCCTGTGTCTTCCTTCACTCATTTTACTCTACCCACACTAGTCTCTTCTGTTCCCCAGGCATACTAGGCATTGTCCCACCTCAGGGCTTTTGTGCTTGTTCTTCCTTCAGCCTGTTCTTTTTGTTCTTTTCTTCCCTGGGTAACTGCATGAGTTGTTCCTTCACCTCCTTTAGTTCTTTACTTATATGTTCCCTTTTAGGTGAGGCCTTCCGTGATCTATGTATCTAAAATTATAAAATCCACCGCAAGTTCTTCCCATCCTTCTTCTCTGCTTTGTATTTTATTTTTTTAGCACACATACTATATATTTATACTATACTCTTTATCTTTTTTATTGTCCACACTCCCACCTCTAATACTAGAATGTGTGCTCCAAGAGGGCACAGATGTTTGTCTCTTTGTTCCCTGCAGAATCCTTAGCCCTACAACATTATGAATGTTCAATCAATATTTATTGAAGCAATGAATAAATTAATCTTAGTTTGAAGTGTTAGCTTCAGGATGTCAGCCAGAATTTGGGCCTCCACAGTCTTATTTACCAGGTTAATATCATAGATAATATTGCTAAATACTCTGGTTTGAATGCTCAGATCTATTAACCACCCCCAGCATTTATTCTAACTTATTTTTTCTTGGTTATGATTAATTTAGGGATAAGGTTTAAATTGGATAAGATTCTGTTTTGCCACTTCTCTCATTATTTTTTCTTTTTTTGCTTAGTGCATCATTAAACACTAATGATTTTTCAATTTATAGAAATATAGTGAATAAATATACAAATGTGGCACAGTAGTCCCCCTTCTCTGTAGGGAATATGTTCCAGGACGCACAGTGGATGCCTGAAACCACAAATAGTACTGAACCCCATATTACTGTTTTTCCATCTGATAACAGAAGCCACTGCTAAGTATGAGCAGGTAGTGTAAAGAACATGGATATGCTGGACAAAAGGATGACTCACGTCCCAAGTGGGATGGCACGAGATTTCATCATGCTACTCAGAACAGCAGGAGATTTAAAAGTTATGAATTGTTTATTTCTGGGATTTTCTATTGAATATTTTCAGACCACAGTTGACCGCAGGTAACAAAACAACAGTGAAACCATGGATAAGGGGGCACAACTATATATAGAATTAAAATATTTTTTTATTCCAGAATTTACATTTTTACTGTGAATCTTACAGAACTCTTACCCATGGTAAGATTTACGTTGATAAATCTTAGTTTAAGATGATGACTTAAGCGGTCTAAGTAGACATCCACAATTCTACTTGTGTAACTAAAAATTAGTTTCAAAACAAAAATATTGATAATTTAAAAGTAAAATCAAAGTAGCACCAGCAATCCAGGGTTGCTGGCTTGTATGCTGAGCTATCCATTTTTTCTGCCTTGAAATATGTATCTAAAATAACTTGTAATATGTGCCTAACTCAGAGAGTTTAAATGTACTTTAAATTTGTTTACTATAATATGCTTTGACATCTTATTTGAGACTGATATTTAAAATAACTTACATTTGAAGATCACCATGTCAGTTCTCCTAATATATCTCTGCAGTGCATTTCTAGGTCCCAAAGACCTTTTTCCATATAAGGAATACAAAGACAAGTTTGGAAAGTCAAATAAACGGAAAGGATTTAATGAAGGATTATGGGAAATAGAAAATAACCCAGGAGTAAAGTTTACTGGATACCAGGTAATGGTTTAGTTCATTGTCACTTGCTAAATCTCATTTCTTTGGTTTTAAATCTTTTTGAGATCTTTCTTATACATCCTTCCTACTAATAGTTACCTTGGAGTCAGAATTCTTTTTGATTCCAGTAGCATTTTGGGTTAAATATAACTTACCCAGTAGGGTTCAAATCCAGTGGCCACTGGAAAATTGAGTTTGACAACCCTTTATTTTGAAAATCTTAAGAATAAACTGAACCCTTTAAAATTAACATAGGTTCTTTTCATAGTCTATGTTCAATGCTATTTTTTTCAAAAATGTAATTAGTTAATATTTTATTATGTCTTAGGCAATTCAGCAACAGAGCTCTTCAGAAACAGAGGGAGAAGGTGGAAATACTGCAGATGCAAGCAGTGAAGAAGAAGGTGATAGAGTAGAAGAAGATGGAAAAGGCAAAAGAAAGAATGAAAAAGCAGGCTCAAAACGGAAAAAGTCATACACTTCAAAGGTTACTGAGAAACTTCCCATTGTTATTAATGTTACAAGCATAATCATTAAAAGTTTTTAGGTTATTTTCAATGTGTTTATTGAGCATACAGAAATATACTAGATTCTGTGGAGCCTCTGCCTTTAGGGATAATCATATAGCAGAGGGAATAATACAAGTAACTGTAAATGTTTGGAGAATCTGGCTATTAACTCTTTATGCCTGATTTGGCCCTGGAAATAGCACTTTCTTAGTTGGAGGAGGACTGTTCTTTATTACGGACATGTGAGTGCCTCCTACAATAACTTTCAGACAAGCTCTGAAGAATTTAGGGATATGAGAGATAAATATGATTCAAGACTATGTCTGTGTACTGTAAATATAAAAACAGTCACGTGTCACTTAACACAGGAATATGTTCTGAGAAACAAATTCATCATTAGGCAATTTCATCGTTGTGCAAACATCATAAAGTGTACTTACACAAACCTAGATGGTATAGCCTGCTATATACCTTGGCTATATGGCATAGCCACCATTGTATATGCAGTCTATCTCTGCCAAAATGTCATTATGTGGCACGTGACTGTATAAAGATATATTCCTACTTGTCGTTCTGCTTGAAAGAATGTTCTTTGCCTCTTCATTTAGTTCTTGTGTTTCCTAATCACCTAGTATATGCCAAACACTAGACTGGGTATACAGTGGTGAGCAAATTCAGCTCCATTCCTGCCCCTACATGAATTATAGTATAGTAGGGGATGGGGGGGTAGCACACAGTAATCGAGTAGATAATAAACATACATAAATTGGGAAAGGGCTATGAAGGAAATGAATGGGAATAGGGAATGACAGAGATGGGGAACCTACTTTAGGTTGGGTGACCAGGCCTTTCTGAAAAGGTGAGGTTTATGCTGAGACCTGAAAGAAGGTTTGGGAGGAGAAGCCATATGTGGCAGAGGGAAAGGAACATAGCAGCAAAGCTCTGTGCTTCTGAATTGAAAGAAGGCGTGGCTAGAGAATCACAAACAAGGGGAGAGGCAGGCAAAGGCCAAATAATGCAGACTTGTAGGCCGTATTATGGAATTTGGATTTTATTACAAATGTAACAATAATTGAAGGTTTTAAACAGAGGAGTGACATGATCCTAGATTTACAATTGGAAGTCTAGATACTTCAGAAATGCAATTGAAAAAACAATGAGATTGCAAAACTTACCTTTAGAAACCGAAAACAAGATAAGCGGATACTTGATATACCAAAAAGTGGTATAGATTTTCACTATAATTGGTCTGTCACATGACTGAATAGCTGGATAAATTACTTTCATTTAGATTCTGGTATTTAGTGGCTAGATACACTAGGAAATGCCTTAAAAACAAGAACCAAAAGTTTATCAGACTATCAGCAGTTTATTTTGGCAGTTTATAAAATCTACCCAACTGGCATACAAGTACAATTGTGTGAATGCAGCATTATGTCCCGTGCACCTAATGAAAAACACATAATTGCTGTGGATGGGGATAAAGTTTGCAAATCACAACAAATTAGCACTTTCCTTGTCAGACTGTATCTTCCGTTGCAATTATTTTTTTAAGCTGAATTTCTTTTAGCATTTTGGACTTCATTTAAGCACCCACTTGAATTGATCTTATTTAGTTTGTGGTTGCTTGCTGAACTTCCATGTAATATGTTGTGCAACTCTAAATTATCTAAACTACCTCATGTTGCCTAGACAGTTAATAGTGTGGAAATTGGCTTTTAAATGCGTTATTTCATTGCTTGCTGCAGAGACTGGAAGTAATGGGGCTCATACCTGGGAGTGTACTTACAGTTTTAAGCAGTGAAAGGGGTAAAGACATACTTAGTTTATTTAGAATTATTTATTTTGAATAAAAGAATTATTTCCTTGGTTTTCCTTCAGGATCACAGCTTTCATGATCACTTAAGAATTACTTTTTCTTTTTAATATCAATGAAGTAACCTAGTACAATGGTTCTCAAACTGTTGCATACATCAGAATCACATGGAAAGCTTGCTAAGACAATATTATTGAGCTTTACCCCCAGAATTTCTATTTTATAAGGTCTAGGATGGGGTACAGGAATCAAATTTCCAGGTAAGGCTGATAATGCTGATCTGGGACCTACATTTAGAGAACCACTTACCTAGCATAACCTTATTCTCTTTTGGCTTCTGAAATGTTTCCTTTTTGTTGAATATGGTGGTCTTTCTTCTGATCTATTTCTTAAAGTTGAGTTGTCTTCCTTTGCACTGAAAAATAGTGCTTCACAAACTTTTCTTACTACATCCCTGTTAGGTAGAGGGGAATGTCCCACATCTATCTCCTCTACCTCACCTAATTTCACTTTTCTGTGGAAAAAGAGCATAATAATCATAATGAAAAGTCACAGTATAGCAGACTTGAGGGGGATTATATATCTTCCTCTTTAGCAGTAAGGGTATGGATGATTCCTGTTTTGAGTCGTAACACATACTGGAAAATTATAGGTCAAAAATATTTTGCATACAAATTATTTACTATATATAGTAGGGCTAATCAGAGCCTCACAGCAAACTAGACTGATGATAAACCATCAGTAATTTTAGTTAAAAAACAAAGATAGCAATATTTGGGCACACAACCAATTTAAGACCACACTGATAAAATAGATGAAGGCCCTTCCCCCAAATTACAGGAATTCCAGTGATCTGAAGAGCTTTGCAAGGTTACGGAATACAGCTTGGCAGCCATATTCTGTAGTAGAATACTGAATTTTGTGGCTCGTTAGTAAAACTCTAGTAATGCCCTAATTCTAGTCTGTGTATACCAAATATGTAGCAAATTATAATACTTATAAACTCACTTACAAGGTTACTCATAAATATACTTTATAAGCATTATAAATTTTAGGGAGTTGTACATTATTATCTATAGAAACTGCAGATCAAGGACTATTATTTTAGATTTTCTATATAAAGCAATTACTACTAATAATTGTACATTTATTAGGAGAACAAAAAATATTTTACTATTGCCATTCTTAATCTTAACTTTAGACACTCCACATTTGGAATATTAAGTCCCGTTTTCTCTTCATGTAAAAAGTAAAACTCGCTGGGCGCGGTGGCTCACACCTGTAATCCTAGCTCTCTGGGAGGCTGAGGTGGGCGGATTGCTCGAGGTCAGGAGTTTGAAACCAGCCTGAGCAAGAGCGAGACCCCGTCTCTACTATAAATAGAAAGAAATTAATTGGCCAACTAATATATATAGAAAATTAGCCAGGCATGGTGGTGCATGCCTGTAGTCCCAGCTACTCGGGAGGCTGAGGCAGGATTGCTTGAGCCCAGGAGTTTGAGGTTGCTGTGAGCTAGGCTGACGCCACGGCACTCACTCTAGCTTGGTCAACAAGCGAGACTCTGTCTCAAAAAAAAAAGTAAAACTCACAGCATTTTAACCTGACATTTTGGGTTTGGTTGATAGTTTCTGTTAAGTAAAATAAAAACAATTATATATTCTATCACATAGCTAGAAAATGTTGTCTCTTTGGAAGGTACATTTTTAAAAACTGATTTTCTGAAGAAGCTTCAGTTTACAAATTCATTTCTGTAAGACTGCAAGTAACTTGGCTAAATCAGTTTTGCCTTACTTCTTTTTTTTTTTTTTTTTTTTTGAGATAGAGTCTCACTTTATTGCCCAGGCTAGAGTGAGTGCCATGGCGTCAGCCTAGCTCACAGCAACCTCAAACTCCTGGGCTCAAGTGATACTACTGCCTCAGCCTCCTGAGTAGCTAGGACTACAGGCATGCGCCACCATGCCCGGCTAATTTTTTCTGTATATATTAGTTGGCCAATTAATTTCTTTCTATTTATAGTAGAGACGGGGTCTTGCCCTTGCTCAGGCTGGTTTCAAACTCCTGACCTTGAGCAATCCAACCTCTTTGGCCTCCTAGAGTGCTAGGATTACAGGCGTGAGCCACCTCACCTGGCCTGCCTTACCTCTTATTTGCAGTGTGCTTGAAGATTCTTAAAGTTTCTAAAAGAAGAATTGTAAGAAATGTAGAAATATAGAAAAATGCAACATTTTACTTCCTTAAAGGTTTATAATTGGGGCCAACTTTTTAACATTTTAATGCTATTCTGCGAAGCAGTTCTTACTGCAAACTATAATTGTATTTTCATCTTTCTCCAGAGTTCATATTGATTTCAAATACAAGATGATCGGAAAAAGGACTAGTTTACCAGGATAGCTTTGGGCTCTTAAATAACTAGTCCATAATTTAAAAAATTAAAATTATATATCACACAGTGATACAAAAGTTTTGTCAAGATGATTCTGTATATACGACTAGCCAAATAGCTTCAACAAAAGTATTCCAACATGAATTCATATATTATCTGGATAATTCACCTTACTTCTCTGGACCTCCATTTGTAAAATGATGAGGAAGAACAAGATAACCTTTAGGATGCCTTCTAGTTCTGTAGGTTTCTTAAGCTGGTATCTATCCAGCTGTGTATATTCATTGACAGGGTTCTGGGTACATGAATCTTCATTTTCTGCTTTTAATACCACATTGCTGGAAAGAACTAAGAGGGCATCTAGTCCACTTCTGTTTCCTTTCCAGCTAGTTAAACTGAGGCCCAGTGAGGTGAAATGGCTTGTCCAATGTCACCTAGCTCAGTGTGGCACACTGCATGTTGCATCTTTATCATCTGTATCAACCCACAAAAGCCAAACCCAAAAAGGTATAAGTCAGTTGCTTCTGCATCTCTTACTTGTGCTTGTGCATTTGGATTTCTGCTTTTGACTATAATATTTAACTTGTCTAAACATTTAGAAATCCTCTAAACAGTCCCGGAAATCTCCAGGAGATGAAGATGACAAAGACTGCAAAGAAGAAGAAAACAAAAGCAGCTCTGAGGGTGGAGATGCCGGCAATGACACAAGAAACACAACTTCAGACTTGCAGAAAACCAGTGAAGGGGTAAGGATATGCATGTAATTTTTCTTACCTTCTACTAACCTAGAGGACATTTTGCTTCAGATTCAGCGTCCATATCTCAGCATTAGTAAACATTCTGTTAGTAAATGAATAAAAGTATTCTCTGTTATTTGCGTTCACTTACAGCTCCTTAATAAGTAATTGAATGCTTAGAGTCTAAAAACAAAAAGAGAGCCAAATGGGAATTATACCTTCCTGTCAGTTTGGAACTCTGTGAACAGGTTTATTCTTTTTTAAACTTACTTTAGAGTCTTTTTAAAGTATGGTATGAAATATTGAAATTATAAATGCCACCTCAAAATTTGACAGTTGTATTTTTTTTATCATAGAATCAATGGTATATTCAAAATAGAGTATTATATACTGCTGCTTCTTTCCCAGAAGTAGAATGCAATTAATGTACCCATGGGGACTTTAAATATTCAAATATTCAAGCAGTATTTGAATGTTGATATTTAAAGTACCCATAGGGACAAATATGTCCACTTTGACTCTTAACTCTTGTTAACCTCTATTAACTTCAAAGTCACAGGTAAGTCTACCTTTGTAAAAGTGTTAGCTAAGGCCAGTTTTGTCCCTAGGCATTTTCCATGAGTCTTTCTCTATGAAGACTAGTTAGTGTCAAATCATTTTAAAATAATGACCTATGAGATATATTATTATCTAGTTTCAGCTGAGTTCTTGCCTATTCATGTTAGTCCTGTTTACGTCTCAATTCTTTCCTCCTTCATCCCAGTTATCTATAATTATACCCAAAGTATTTTGATTCTAATTGTTCTCTTATTCTTCTCATCCAGCTCAGCTTTACTCTATCCTCTGTCCACCTTCCTTCTCTTGACTTTTCTCCAATAAGTAGTGCTCTGTCATTACCTTTGCTTGCAGCCTTCCCAGGGGCATATACCTGCCAATAACCCCTGAGGGCTTGAATACTTGCTCACTCAATAGATATGCTACATATATCTTAGGTGGCTTCAGTATGCAAATAGCAAACGCTTCCAAAATTTCTTTCCTTTACTACTGAACCTATTTCTAGATACACTTCTTGTGACAGAGGAAGAGTTAGTTGTTCTATATCTTTACTACTCAAGAGTGTGGTCTGTGATCAAGTAGCATCAACATCACCTGGGAGCTTGTTAGAAATGCAGAATCTCAAGGCCACCCCAGACCACAGATTCTGAATCAGAATCTGCATTTTAACTAAACCCCCAAGTCATTCATATGCCCATTAAAGTTTGAGGAGCACTAATCTATGCCTCTCTATTACCAGGGTCCAAAACATTATCTCCTCCTACTTTCTCCAAGGCACACCCAACAGTTGTCTCCTTTCTCTCCTATACTGATGTCTTCTTCTGGCTCCTTCCCCTCTGCCTGCATGATCTCCCTTATTCTTGAAGGATCTTATGTTCTACCCTTTTCACCATTCTCTTCATCTCTAAACTTCTTAACAAGACTTATCTTTTCTTCTAGTCTCCATTTCCCTATCTCCTACTCATGACTTAACCCACTGCACTCTTGTTCTTTCTTTGACCAGTTCATTAAAACTACTCCTGTTAAGGTACCTAGGGATCCTCTCATTGCCAAATCCAGTGTCTCCTTTGATCTTCGTTTTTACTTCTGCAACATTTAATACCATTAGACACTTTCTCTTCCTGACTTTTCCTCTAGGTCACCAATCTTTTCTGCTTCCCCTCTCTATTCCTTCTCAGTCTCTTTCGAGAGCTCCTTTTTCTTCAATAGGACTTGACACACTTCTGTTCTGAAAACTTATGTCCTTCTTATCTACTCACATGGTTTCAACTACTATATATTACTGATGACTTTCCACTCTGTATCTCCTGCATTACAGATTCATTTTTCTATTGCTAATAAAACCATTTCTACTTGAATAGTAGAAAGTACCATAGAAAATAGTAATTGCTACTAGGTAGCAACAGTAGTCTATGTGCCACACATTGTTAAATGCTGTGCATGCATTATGTCATTTAATCCTTATGTAAGCCCTAGAAGGTAGGTGTAAGTATTATCTCCATTTGTTTGCTGGGGCAACTGAGGCTGAAAGAATTGGTGCAGGGTCACACAGCTATTAAGAGTCAGAGTGGGAAGCCAGAACCTGAGGTCTTTTTATTTTTAACCTATTTTTAATAATATCTTTGTTATATACAAAAGAATTATCTTTTCTATATAGAGAACTATCTACATATACCATGTTTCCCCCAAAATAAGACCTATCCATAAAATAAGCCCTAGCAGGATTTCTAAGCATTTGCGCAATATAAGCCCTACCCCCAAAAATAAGACCTAGTGATGGGCGTGGCTACACAGTGTATCTGCACAACATTTCGTCGCAGGGTAGTAAAGAAGACGAGCAGCCCTTCTCATCTGCCCCATGAGAGCTCTTGCTAGACATGAGAGATTGGGGCCAGTGGTTCTAAAGGAAATAGAGTGGTAAGAAATTCAGAATGGAATTCGGAGTTTGGAGAATTATGATGATGTTCCAGAAGAAGACGACTTAACTATATTTGAATAAATGTAGATTGTTGTACCGTACTTAAAAAAAAATAACACATTCCCTGAAAATAAGCCCTACGGTGTCTTTTTGAGGAAAAATAAATATAAGACCCTATCTTACTTTCGGGGAAACACGGTAGTATAAAGTTATGAAGGCCTTATGTCATAATGGATAGCAGTGACCCTACCACTCAACCTAAAAACTAGAACATAACAATTAACTTGTATCTATTTACATGTTTGTATCTAGTCCCATCTTCCTACCCAGAGAGGAGCACCAATGTGGTATTTATTATTTTCTTTCATTTTAAAATCCTAGCCCGTATCTAACATACAGGTAGATGAGTAATATATTGTGTAATTTTGCTTAATTTTGAACTTTTTAAAAAAATCATGACATTTACTCACCACTATGTTTCCAAGATTCCTTCATGTGGTTATGTGTAGCAGTGATTTTATTCCTTTTTCACTACGATATAATACTCAGTTTTGTGAGTGTACTACAACTTATTTTATCCAGTCTCCTATTGATGGGCATTTGAGTTATTTCCAGAAGTTTGCAATTATGAGCTGTGTCTCTGTGAGCATTGTCATACTTGTCTTCTGGTGTATGTGTACTGGAATCATGTAACTAGAATTGAAAATACTGAGTCATGGTTTATGGTTTTTAACTTTACAGGATATTGCAAACTTATTTTTCTAGTAGTTGGACCAATTTACACTCCTACCAACAGTGTATAAGAATCCTCTGTGATTGACTTGGCATAATCAGGCTTTTTAGTTTTTGCCAACATAATAGACAAAAATGTTCTATTATAGTATTAATTTACAATTCCCTGATTAATGATAAGATTGAGCTTCTTTTCATTTTTATTGACCACCCATGTTTCCTCCTCTGTGCATTGCTTGGTTTGGGTTTTTGCTTATTTTCCTATGGGATAATTTTTCTTATTGATTTGTAGAGCTTCTTTACATGTTCTGGATTCTAACATGCATGGTCATGTGCCTTGTAAGTATCTTCTCCAAGTTTATCACTTATCCATTCAATTTCTTTCTGATACTTTTAGTGAACAGACTTATAATTTTATTGTAGTCAGCTATATCAGATTTTCTTTTTATGGCTAGCATTTTCAGCACCATTTATTAAGCAGTCCTTCCTTTTCTCTCTGATCTGCAGTGCTATCTGTTGTATATCCATGAGTCTCTCTCTGGGTTCTCTATTCTGTTTGTTTGGTCAATACTACACACTCTTGATTATAGTAGCTTTCTAATGAGTCCTGAAATCTTGTTAAGGGTAGCATCTTAATCTTAAACTTCTTTTCAAGTACTTAATTGTCATGGTCTGGGATAGAAGGTCAAGGAGGGGCTTTTTTTCCTGATGAGAGAATTTATAGCATAGATGCTGGTAAGAATGACCCAGTGAGGAATGATCACAGAATAATAATGTAAGAAAGAATTGCTGAAGCAGTATCCTTTAAAAAAGGCATAAGATCTGGTGCACATCTAGAAGGGGTCACCTTTGTTCATCCATCGAAACAGAAGGGAAGGCAGAGTTTTTGGGCACAGATGCTGGTAAGTAGATAATTGGGGTGAGAGCTCATAAAATTTCTCATCTGGGCCGGGCGCTGTGGCTCACACCTGTAATCCTAGCACTCTGTGAGGCCAAGGCGGGAGGATAGATTGAGGTTAGGAGTTCGAAACCTACCTGGGCAAGAGCGAGACCCCCGTCGCTACTAAAAATAGAAAGAAATTAATTGGCCAACTAAAAATATATAGAAAAAATTAGCCAGGCATGGTGGCACATCCTGTAGTCCCAGCTACTCCGGGAGGCTGAGATAAGAGGATTGCTTGAGCCCAAGAGTTTGAGGTTGCTGTGAGCTAGGCTGATGCCACGGCACTCACTCTAGTTCAGGAAACAGAGCAAGACTCTGTCTCAAAAAAAGGTTTTCATCCGATTGCTTCTATTTTCTTAAGAAATAAGGTTGGCATTTGAGAATGAGAACAGGAAGAAGTGTTGGGAGCTTCAAGAGAGAGGAAAATATATAAAGTTGTCATTTAGAAGAATAGGAGAGTGAATGAACCTGGAAAATGAAGTTGAGTTGCCAGGTAGCAGTAAGGGCCCACTTGAGGCTGGTGGTCATGAATTTGAAGTAAGAGCACACAGAATGGTTGTGTATTTTTTCTCTAGGCATATTCAACTGCCCAGTCACAGAGCAGAAAATTGAATTTAACTAGAATTGGGGTTTGCCCAGTGAGTAGGGTAAAGGGGATTGAAGACCAGGGAATGGAGGGTGTGTGCAAGGGAGTGATTATAACAATGTGCCATGGAATTCAAAATATGTTAAGAGGGAGAGATGTACACGCAGAAAAGGTATGATTGACAGATTTTGCATATCAAAGAATTATTGGAGATGGAATATCAAATAGAGGGAGTGAGCTAGAAATATAGGTGGTGATAGAGTGAGATATTTGAGTTGAATTGTGGAAGTGTTGCAGTAGTTGCTGATGGCAATGCAGGTGTTATTGGTATTTTGAGTGGGATAATACTTCATTGTATGCATACCATCCACATCATAGGACACTTAGCACCATTGGCTCCTGTCTTTTAAATACCAGTAGAACCCCTAACTTATAACAACCTAAAATTCCCCCATAATTTTACTCCTAAAACAGTGGCTTAAAACAGTATTTACAAATAATACTCCAGTGGTTACAAATCACTTAAGAAATTAAGAAATAACCATGGGACTGAATGACTAAGATAGGGCAGAGGACAGGATCTTTGGCAGAGAACAGGATCTTTGGCAGAGAAGATGCCAAGAAACTGAGATACCAGAATGTTAGAATGATAATCTACATGGATATTGAAATCGCAGGAATTAAGATACTGAATGACAGTGGGCCAGAGCTAAAGTCTTTAAGGAATTAGGGGAATAATCCAGGGAGTCTGTGGATGGCTGCAGTAAGTGGCTTACAGTACTGAGATTCAAAGCTGGGAAGATTTTCTTCTCAGAGGATGGGGGCACAGCAGAGAGGAAGAACAGCTTATCCATAGTAGTGAAGAGCAAGTAGGACACCTTCCCCACTCCAGGGCCAGTAGAAGTATAAGGGCTATGGGAGAGGAAAGAGCTAACATTTGAGGAGTTTGCAGGGGAAGAACAGCACTGCCCTTGTGAGAAAGCAGGTTTCAGTTAGAAAAAGTTGGCGAGTAGAGGATCTTGGAAATTCCAGTTGGGAATATAGGAGGTTTGCTAATGGCTGAATGCGACTTCCAGAGAGCCCAGTAGAAGAGATTAAGGAATTGGGGGCAGGGAGGTTGTTAAGAATTGAGGTCATTAAAGGACGTGTACAAAGCTGCCTGGGAATGTGAGTCCAGAGCCCATCTTGAAGCAAGCAAGGATAAAGGGCACAAGGATAAAAAGCCTGATGGTCTTAATGCAGATGTTGGGTTGAAGTAATGAGCATTGGTAGGAGAAGGAGAGAAGAGATTCTTACAAGGGGTCCCTCTTTATTCCCGAAGGCTCTCTGACTACCTGCTTACTCCTGCCAGTGGAAGCTGGAGGCAGAAAGGAGCAGCCTCTCTTATCCAAACACTTGGCTCCGCTTGGTTCACGTAGATGGGAAGGGAGGTGACTAATCTCTGGCCAGGAGGATACCATGCACTGCTTGCTTTAGGCCTGCTGAGTTATCTATTGTCACGTAACAAATTACCCCAAAACCTAGTGACTTAAAGCAGCATTTATGATCTCATCTTTTCTGTGTATCAGGAATCCAGTCAGGTGCAACTTGCTGAATCCTCTGTCTCTGGGTCTCTCACAAGGCTGCAGTCTAGGTCAGCTGGGACTCAAATCATCTTAAGGCTCAACTGGGGATGGATCCTTTTCTAAGTTCACTCAAGTAATTGTTGGCAGGATTCAGCTCCTCGCAGGTGTTGGTCTGAGGACCTCAGTTCCTCACAGGCTGTTGGCCAGGGACCTCCCTTGGTTCCTTGCCACCTGGATTGCTCTATGAGGCAGCTCACAACATGGCAGCTGGCTTCATCAGAGCAAGCAATAAAGTGTCAGCAAGAGAGAGCTGGCAAGACAGAAATCAGCCTTGTGTAACCAAATCTCAGAAGTGACATCCCATCACTTTTGCTTCATTCTGTTTGTTAGAAGGAAGCCACTCAGTCCAGGCCACATTCGAGGGGAAGGGATTACACACGGGTGTGAATACCAGGAGGCAGGGATCATAGGAGACCATGTCAGAAAGCTGTCCATCCCTGATCCAGCTGCTGATCTAATCCCTGCAAAGGCTCGCACTTGTCAGGTTCTACTCAGCCGTGGAGCTGGGATCAAGTCCTAAATCACAAGGCTACCCCACAGTTGGGGGAAGGGGCAGAAGATAGAATAAATGTTGGGAGGACACCTGCAGTTCACTGTAGCTATTTCCCAGTGTCCATGCCTTTATTCTTCTGACCCTGGACCTGTCCCCGCTGCCCACACATCAAATCCAAACTCTTAATTCTATCATATAATTCCCTTCATGTCTGACCACATTTATCTTTCCAATCTCATCTCTCACCATTTACTCTCATTTATTCTTGGTCTCAGGACCTCTTTAATACTCTTAAAAGTTATTGAGGGTCCCAGAGAGCTTTGTTTATATATGTTATAGCTATTGATATTTACTTAGTTAGAAATAAAAACAGAATTAAAAATACTTAATTCATTTAATAATAATAAACCCATAACTTCATATAAATAGCATATTTATGGAAAATATAGTTATTTTCACAAAAATGCTTTGAGAATAATGACATTGTTTTACATTTTTGCAAATCTTTTTAATGTCTGGTTTAATAGAGGACAGCTGGATTCTTACCTGCTTCTACATTCTGTCTGTTGCAGTATGTAATTTTTGTTGAAGTATACGAAGAAAATCTGGCTTTACGTAGATATGCAATTAGAAAATGGAGATATGAATATTTTAATAGTCTTGCCAACTAATTGTGGATATTCTTGTTTGATATTATACTAATTCTATAAGAGGTAGTTTCTTAAAGATTAGTTACAATGTGGAATCTTAACTTTTCCTATTCTGTTACATTAAAACCCATTGGACTACCCGGCACTTTGAATAATTTTCACCCATTTGGAAAATATTGGCTCCCATTAGTTTGGGCCTTCCAAATACTGACCCATTTCATTATAAAATATTTTAATATCACTACCTACCTCATCAGAAAAGTCTTTAAGTATTGAGAAGCTGCCAGTGATGGAGGATTCAAAATTCTGATTTTTCACTTAAATGCTCAAATTTTATGATTGGCAACAAATACTGTCAGTTGTTTCTCTTCCAGTAATAAGTCACTTTGTTTTTTACAAAGTGCCAAATTGCCACATTCAAATAGGCATATTAAATATGCCTGACATAAAAATGGTGCTCCATGAAAAGATCCTTATGACTTCTACTGACGCACAGCTTCTGCTGACTGTGTTCTGAGTACCTTCCAGTTTCACTGCCACCCTACAGCCTCTCAATATGCCTCACATTCAGGTACCTCAAGAGAGAATCTGATTGGATTCCCCAGCCATTATCCAGTGTAGGGGTGCATGACAACCAGTGCATAAGGAACCATTTCTGGCTACTAAGAAGAGACTTTAGGTCTGGCAGACACTCAGAGTACCATGTCCAGATTATATACCATTGTGAATTAATAAGATATATTTTTCAATACATAAATACAAAGAGAATGACTATGGTATGAGAAGTTTAAAAAAAACTCAGATTTTATAATTTGCTTTTACAAAGCACCCATTCGACAGTACCTTGTTTAAAGATAAAAATAAGCATTTGCTTAAAGTTGTGGTCACATTCTGGCCACCTTCACTTTGTTTGAGGTATTAGTAATACTCTGAGGCTGCTATGGAACCATCTGTTCCAAAAATATTCTTTGATGTGGATTAATAGTTGTTACTGTGAATTTTCTACCAAGGTAAACACTGAGTTTATTGCCTTTCACATTAATAATAAGACATCGTTAAAGATTTCTTTGGTTGACTAACCATTTTTCATTATTCTAATGGATGTCTTCCTTCACAAGGGAGGAAGCTCCTCTAAAGTATCTGTGAGTATAATCTTATATCTAGTGTTTTTATTTGTTAATAAATAATTAGGAGTCACTGGGCATTGCATTTTGCAAGTTCACAGATTTTAAATGTTTTGTATTTAAGATTGACTGCCTCCGGGCGCAGTGGCTCACGCCTATAATCCTAGCACTCTGGGAGGCCGAGGCGGCCGGATAGCTCGAGGTCAGGAGTTCGAAACCAGCCTGAGCAAGAGTGAGACCCCGTCTCTACTATAAATAGAAACAAATTAATTGGCCAACTAATATATATACAAAAAATTAGCCGGGCATGGTGGCACATGCCTGTAGTCCCAGCTACTCGGGAGGCTGAGGCAGGAGGATTGGTTGAGCCCAGGAGTTTGAGGTTACTGTGAGCTAGGGTGATGCCATGGCACTCACTCTAGCCTGGGCAACAAAGCGAGACTCAAAGCAGAAACACATTTCTGCCATATTGAGGGGATGGTAGGTTTGGTAATTCTTCCTCCTATGAAGGTCCTGGAATCATTTATAAAAATATTGTATAAATTTTGGCTGAGAACATACCTATGAGTGTGTACATGTGTGCTTACAAATACATTCGTTCATTTAGTGAAATAAAGAGCTGAAGTAGGCTGTTTTTAGAAAAAATATTTGGGGCCTGAGTTCCTTCTTTCATTTATCCTATAAGAGCTTTACTAAGAGGTTTAATATATTTGGGTTAATAATGAAGAAAACAAAAACAGCATCCTTTTTGGGAAATATAACCTGACACCATTTAAAGTGGAACCCAAATTGAAACCTATCTCTTTTATGAAACAAATAGTTTATATTTGTCACATGGATGCCATCTAAATTTTAAAAGAAATCTAGGCTTCCTTTTTTTCATCCTTTATATTTTTTTCAAAAGCAAAAAGTCAAAGACTTTGAACATCTTGATTTTGTTAACTCTTATATTTCTTTGAGCCATGTCATAAGTGATTAAGTTGTAAATATTTTGAAGATTAATTTCTGCATACTCTTAAATGCTTTTTAAATTTTACATAGCTTTTCTGACATCACAATCCTCACAAAGATAGATTTTATCAGTTTCTCCATTGACTTTACGTATCCAGCAATGAACATAGCTTTGGAGTTGTACTGCCCTAAAAGACAGTAGACAAAGTTTATTCTTTTTTTCCTGGTTTTTTTTTTTTTAATGTAGCACTAAAAATGCCCTAGTATTGCCCTTTAACTTTTTGTACTGATCGGTATAAAGCAAAGCCTCAAGCTGTTCTTGCAGAGTAAGTATTGTTAATGTTGCAGTACATATTAAAACCTCAGAAAATTAGTTATATATTATGTAGGTGTGGATAGCTCCCATTGTTAGTATCCTAAATCCTCTAAAGGCTTGTTTTCTTTCTTTTTTTTACAGACCTAACTACCCTATTGAATGCTGCATATTAAGAGAAACCACAAGAAGGTTATATGTTTGGTTGTCTAATATTCTTGGATTTGATATGAACCAACACATAGTCCTTGTTGTCATTGACAGAACCCCAGTTTGTATGTACATTATTCACATTCCTCTCTGTTGTGTTTGGGAAAAGAAGACATTTTAGCCTTTTTTAAAGTTACTGATTTAATTTCATATTATTTGGTTGCATGAAGTTGCCCTTAACCACTAAGGATTATCAAGATTTCTGCACAGACTTACAAATGTCTAGGATCCTTTGATCAAGGCAGTTGTGTTCATCATTTTCCTGCCTTTACCCCACCATCACCAAACACTCAGTTAAATATAAATTAGCATTTTTTAAATGACCACTCAACACAATTCTTAAGGATGGAGTTTATTCTTTGTGACAGAACCCAGGAACTAATTCCTAAATACATTAATGTTGGTATATTGAAGATAAAATTAAAATTGTCTTTCAGTTTTGAGGCCATGTGTAAAGTTTAACCATACTGTAAAATATCTATTCCATATTAGAAATAGCTAGTTGACAGCTTATACTTCTCAAAATTCATGTTGTTATGTACACAAACTAAGTTTCTATATGTGAAGTTAGTGAGTCTTTTTGTGTTACTCCAGAATAAAAGCAGTGATTTATTTTTTTCCCAATGCCAATACAATTTGAGCTAATCACTCAAGGTGGACACTTTACATTTTAAAGCTGGACTCAACAGCAGCCCTATGGGAAAACAGACAAAGCATTGACTTTTAAATATAGACTTTTAAAATGAACTGTTTTCTTTTGGAACTAGAATTAGAATAGTTACTATTCATCCACAAACCATTATTATATGTACATTATTGTTGCTATTGTGATAATAGAGAATTTTATTTATTTTTATGCCAGCTTATATTGTGAGAACACATTTAGTCAGCTTGAGTTTTATCAATCCTGTTATGCTTGTCTTTGGAACATCTTTCGCGTATTCGAGGTTTGTAGTTGAAAAGTTTACTGTAAAAAAATCAAAAACAAAAAAATGTATTGTTTTTACAGAATAAATTTATTGGAATGTGTACTGGGAGTAAGGTTTGAGGTTGTAAACAACTAAGTTAGTGTAATTTGGCTTCATATATGTAACGTGAGGTATTAATGTAATTCATATATTAAAGCAAAAACTGTTAACAGCAAGTTGACAATAGAATCAAGTGCAGGTGAGGGTTTTCTTTTTCTTTATTACTTTTTTTTTTAAGCACTCTCTCCTCTCTCTCTGGGTTTTAGGTTATTTGAAACACTGGGGGCAGGGAGTTGGGGAAAATGACTACATGATTTGCTTGCACATGCATATCTACCAGCCCTGTGGACCCTAGATTGACATCCTTGCGTATTATCATGCATTGATTTGTATCCATTTTCTTTGTTTTCTTATTGTGAAAGGCTAATAAATAACATGAAGAGAAAAATGTGAGCAGATCTAAAAGCCTAGGGCCATTAATGACGACGACAGTGAGGACGTCAGCCAAGGATGTGAAAGCACCAATCTACTCACCACTCACAGCACACTACGGAGGCAGCTATAGTTTGTTGGTTTGTTTTCTCCTAGTAGTATACTCACACGATTCCAGATAGGAAACGTTCATAAAAAGATAGAAGGATACCAATCCAGTTCTTCTTTTTCTTAAAAGGTACTTTTAATTTTGAACATTTATTATATAATTAATGAAGTTTAATTAATTCATCAAAAGTCCTCTTCATTGCTCATACTAAAACATAAGGAGAATGTAGATGACATTTGAATTGGAACATATAACAGATTTCTTAAAGAAAAAGCCATTTTATATGCATATATAAAATGTTTCAAAGTTAAAAAATTGTCTTCATAAAGGCAAAAATAATTTATTAAAAATAACAGAAATACAAGAAAATATTATATGCCACCAATAAGATAAGTGTTCATTAAGAGCAAAGATAAAGTTATCATCCTTCCTTAGCTATTTAGATTCACACAAAAATTTTAGTAAAACCAATTTTTAAAACAACAGCAAATAATATACTTTCTTTGGGAAAACACTTTTCAAACATTTTAAAATATTCTGATGACTTGCCTTTTATATTGAGGTTGATAATGAAGCATATACATCTTATATGCAAGAGTTATTTTTCCAACCTATGTTCACATTTTTGAATTTTTAATATGCACAGATGATAATTCATTTTGAATACTTTGATTTCTAAGCTCACTACTGTAGGCACTAAATTGTAATTTTTCACACATTTATTTAATATGTCAAACAGAATATTGAGATAAATGGTAAGGTTTATTTGCAAATAATTTCAAATAGATTTTTTAAACAAACTTTCTCAACACTTCAGTTTTCCTTCAAAAAAGAAATTTACCCCAACATACATATTAGTGCAGAGCAAGAATTTATGTATTCTTAAGTATTCGTATATGGGAAGAGGATAATGGGACAAAATATCAGTACCAGTATAACAAGAGTCACAAATCTAGAGAGGAAGAACATGAAGTAATGTTTTTATTCCACCTTTTCATCTGCTTTTGTTTTTACGAAGAACTCTGGTTTGTAGATACAACGATAGGCCAAGAGTTGAGGAAGAACTCCATATGCTATGTTTAATGCTAAAAAAAGGATTTTCGCTTCTTCAGGGACTCTGTAGACATAAGCAGTTCTAGCATGAAGAGAAGCACCAATGTGAGAAAACTGAGCCTGTTGCATAAAAACAAACAAATTGGTAAGCATGAAATTTGTGTTTAGCTGGATGCACGATGAGTTCTGAATGGTTCATTCAGACTATGTTTCTGTGCCCTCAAAACCAGTCTTACCTGCAGACAGAATACCATCAAATGATGGTCTTTAATATGATAGTCTTTCATTAAATGTACTCTTTCGTTAAATTTAGGGCCATTCTTGATATAACTGTTCAAATAAAGTATACATTCTTTAGTGTGGTTCGTCATGCTAGTTTTGTCTTTTAACCCATCCAGTGTTCCTTACCAAACATTAATGGCTCAATCTAACAGAAAAGTCTGAGTAAAATCTCAGTTTTGTTCTGATTTGCATTCTGGAGAATCCTACATAGAAACTCAGTTATGGCTCACAAATTATGTCTAGTAAAAATGAAGGAAGTACAGAGTTTAAGAAAGCTAAAATATTTTTAGCATAAGAGAAGCACTGGGAATCTCAGCTTTGTTTATCAGTCTTTCATCTACTCCTTGGAACAAGAACTCAAAGCCTTTTTGTTGTATATTTTTTATTTGTTTTTTATGCAACTTAAAAAATACAACACATTGTTTTTAAGATAAGGCTGTTGCCAACTTGTGTGGAGGTAGGAGTATAGTTGCTCATTATAAAATGGCAAATATACACGCAGGCAAACTTTTCAAATCAAATTATAATTTACTTAGAAGTAGGACTTGCCAGCAAAATCTGAGTTTTGCTAAACAGCCTCCCTCTATGCTTGTATACTTACTTGTTCAGAACACACAATCAGAATGTGCCCATTGGTCTTTTTTTATACTTTTCATAAGCATAGAGGAAAACTATTAGAAAGGGTCATATAGGCCACAGCAGGATTAAAAGCTCCTTTGAGAGGATTTCCTCAGGAAATCCTTGTATCATTACAAAATGCAGCCCCAGAGTCTGCATTTTCATTTCTTGCTGAAATTCAAGGTATAGATGACAATAGGATTGGGAATCCAAACGTGATTCTTAGTAAATTACTAGTTTATCAGGATCAAAGTGAAGAGACAGAAGATACTGCAATCTATAGAAGGCACGGAAGTAACAAGAATGAAGAACTAAATAATTTCCTTTAAATACATAAGTTATTTTATATTTCCTTCCATTTGAAATCAATTTATTCTGCTAAGTGGTTAACAGATAAAAGTGTTACCACTTCACTTTACCCATGACAAGAAAAGGACAAGCTTTTATAAGCAGCATCATTATGAATTTTTATCAGTGGCAGATATTTTAATGGGCTGCATTTTTACAAATCGCTGATATATTCTGGAGATACACTCTGGTATGTTTTTGCTACTCTCTGGAGATAAAAATTAGTGTGGTTTGTTGCCAAGGACCAACATGTGAATTGTCTGCACTGTGATCCATGAGACGCTGAGAGGGCTCTGCCCTCGGACACACCTCCCCTAGGCAGATGCCAATCACAACCCAGCAAATGTGTGTGCATCTCTGGGCTCTGAAGACAAAAGACCTTGAGAGTCAAAGGCATTTGCCAGGGTGCCCTGAGGAGCTGCTACTGTGGAAATTCTAGGAACTCTGAACAAGAGATTGGCCCCCCTCACTATTTTTCCTTAGGGCCTATTTTGAATGATAGTGTTTTTTTACATATATAGCCAAACTTTTCTTCTGGACTAAAAGCTAAATTTGAACCCTGGTTTTCAGAAATGTTTGATGGCTCTACCTTTATGGACACTTGTAGACATCAAGAAATCACAAAATTTGGGAATATGCCAACCATACTTTAAGAGAATAAGAAATAGGAGCGGTTGTGCCTACTTGCATAGGGAAGCCTGCATCAAAAGTCAGTGATTCCATGGGCTCTTTTTCTGCACTAACAGTGCAGTTAATACCTCATTCTCATGAACAGCAAAGTCATGACAACAGTTAAAAATGATTCATGTCCTTAGATTAGATTGTAAGCCCACTGGGCAGGTACTGTGTCTAATGTTCTGTGTGACACTTGTCGCATTGTTAGAGCTCAATAAACGTTCAACAACAGTGGTCTTGTGACTGTCAAAATACAAAAAGGGTCTACAAGGCCAGGTGTGGTGGCTCAAGCCTGTAATCCTGGCACTCTGGGAGGCCGAGGTGGGAGGATCGATTGAGCTCAAAAGTTTGAGACCAGCCTGAGCAAGAGTGAGACCCTGTCTCTACAAAAAAAAATCTACAAAGAAAAAGAAAAATTACCCAGACATGGTGGTGCACGCCTGTAGTCCAAGCTACTCAGGAGACTGAGGCAGGAGGATCACTTGAGCCTAGGAATTTGAGGTTGCTGTGAGCTACGGTGATGCCGCTATACTCTATCCAGGGCAACAGAGCAAGACCCTGTCTCAAAAAAAAAAAAAAGTCTACAAAGTATTTCTCTATTTTTGTACCTGTTTTGTAGGCCTTTTTATTCGGAATTATTTGACAAAGGCAAAGATTATTACATTCCTAATCCAAAGAGGTGTTTGTATATGAGAGAAGAACTCTGAGGCCAGTTGTCTGCAGCATCCAGTACTGCTCATAGTTCTAACAGGTGTAATGATTGCCATACCTCCAGCCATAGTTTCCTCCCAAGGCATGTGTTATTAAATGTTCAGGGTTCTGAAGTTTTAAAAAAACCTCAGTCTCACCTGAGAAGGGTTCCCTTCCTAAGCACACAGCTGATAAAGGGCCGCACAATTGTCTGCTGGGTGATGTTTCTAACAGCAGGAGAGCCCCTGAGAAGGACCTGAAGAGCTCAGCCTGCACATTATTCTGGAGTCAGCTCGCTCCACAAATTCAGTGCTGCTGAATTAACATGTGGATGCCAGAAATCTCCAAAATTTAGTGATGTGAGGTTGAGTTCCTAATAATTTTTCTTCTATTACATTCTAAATCATCTTTCCCCTTACAGAAGTAATTAAGATATATATATATGCTCTGATTTTTTTAGAATGGATGATTGGAATGAAAAATAAGGCAATAAAAGTGAACAAAGCTTAAATTTTAATAGTTCTGTTTTCTTTTATTTACAGAAACAATCTGGAAAAGATGACTAAAAATCATAATCCTAGCTCCAGAAGGAAGAACTGAAAGAGTTTATGTGCTAGTGTTAATGTTATAAGCAAAAACTAATGTGACCATTGGGACAACAGCTAGGATAGGCTATTTGGCCAATACAGTGTGAGTTGCTTATCCAGAACTGTGCTATCTTTTCCTAGGGTTTTCTGAGCAGCATAGTATAGTGGTTCAGAACATGGACTGTGGAACCAGATCGCCAGAGTCAAACCCCATCTCCACCGCACACCAGCAGTGTGGCCTTGGGCAAGAGCTATAACCCTCTGGCATCCTCATAATGGAACCTACCTCATAGGTTGTTGTGAAGGTTCAATTTGTGATATTCTTAGTGCCAAGCACTTAGGGCTATTCCGACACAAATACAAAACTCAACTGAAACACCTATTCATGATCTGGTGCTCTACGATGTAAAAAACCTGGGATCTTTGTTTTTAGACACCCTTCTTGACCATTTGACTGTCAATGTCTCCACAAAAGGATAAGTACTTAAAGATCCTGAACCCAAAGTCTAATTGTAATACTAAATAAAGATGTTTTAGTAATGAATCACACCAGAAGCAAATGAGTAGAATGGGATTTGCATTAGGATCCCAATTATCCAGGTTTTTCCTAAACCTTTACACTCAGATATATTTTAAAGGTCTTCATAAAGGAAATAAAACTTAGGAAATTTACTTCCAGTAGAGTCAACTCTTTACAACCAGATTATCCACATGTAAGCCTCCAGACCATAGCCCTGCAGAGGCAGGGAGTTAGAAAGTCTGAGGGCAGCCAGTGGGAAGGGGTACCACCTCACTGCAGTGGAACTGATCCTGCTTCAGAGGCTCCCTGCCAAACCCTTTCTGAGTCTGTCCCAAAGCTTTCTCCCAGTTTCTTTGGGTTTTTTGGCAATTATACACATAGCTTAGCTAATCTGTCTACAGATTGAGCAACATAAGGCATTTTTCTAGATTCTCACTGGGAATCTTCTATCAATAATGATAACAGCAACAGAGTTACACCGCTATTATGTGCCAAGCACTGTTCTAAGCTATCCTGTGCATTACCTCATTTAACTCTCACAGCACCTCCATGAGAAAGGTACTATCCTCACATCACAGAAGAGGAAACAGGATCAGGGAGGTAAAGTAACCAGGTCGCTGTGCTAATCAGTGACAGGCTCACATCGGAACCAGTCTGCCTCCAGACCGTATGCTCTTAACCATATTAACTATACTGGCTCTGATTTTTTTTTTCATTTTCAGTGATATTTTAGTATAGAAAATACCAATTGATAGAAAATGCTAATATGTAAAGATCTAAGCAGCCTATATGCTTTTCAAATTAAACTTGCAGCTTTAATCCTGTGGTAACCATTTTACATGAAAAGACTGTTGGGTTATAAATAAGTCCCCAAAGGAACTCTTTGGTCTAAAATGGTTTTATTTTATTCAGTTTTCTTTTACTTTTGAATTGATCTTTTTGATTTCTGAAGGCAGCAGATTTGGCAGATTCCTACATGGTCTGAAATCAAGGACCCAGTAACCAGCATTGATCTGTACTGATATAACTTTTCAAAGGTTGGTTTTTTGTTGTTTTGTTGTTGTTAAATTGCATAGACTTAGGAGTTCACTAATCTTTAAATAAAAGCAGGTTTTAGTAAATTAGTTGGGATTGTGAATGCATAAGGCTTCTGAATTAGGAATGGCATTTTCAGCAAGCAAGGGTGCTGATCAAGACTACAGAGAGTGCTTTTTATGAGGAATATATCAGGTATCCCCCTGAGGTGAGAATCCATTTCATAACCAAGTATTTGCTAAGTATAAACCAAATCACATAACTGTAACTCATCATTCCAATAGTATGCATTGTTTAGTTGCGGCATGATTTCTAACTTTTCCTTAGCCTACACATAACAAGTAGGTAGATATTAAAGTCCAGCCAAGAGCTATGGGAATGTCAGACACATAATTCTTGAATTATGCCACCCTTTTACCTGCTAGGTTGGGAGAAACATTCTTCTGACATTTAGAAGATGTGGTCCTTAGCCTCAGGCTGTGAGTCTTGGCACTCACCAATAAGACGGGCTTCAGCCTACCTTGTAAACTGGGCAGTGATGGATGAACCCAAGGGTTCCTGCAAGGCCTGAGGTCTGGCTAAAGCTGCCCCTGCTATTGCCAATTGCTCTACAGTCCACATTGCCCTTCCCAAAACCACCCAGCTAGAGTCACAAGTGCCCATCTGCAAGCTTAATCTCACCAACAGGTTAGCCTGGGCTTAGTCTTACTGCTACAGGGTCACACACCCATTTTTTCCCAAAACAATTACTTCCTAAGTTTTCTGACTGTTGACTCTGTCCACATTCTTAGGCCTTTGCCTCAGTTACCTGCCTAGTTCCCCAGTCATCTCCTGCAATTTGACCAGGTCCAGCATCTGGTCTCTTTAGCCTCCTAGCTGATGACACCTAGCTTTCCTGCACTGAGGACTGGTACTATGCAGACCAGGGCGCATGGCAGACAGAGAAGGCCTGATTGTACAAGCAAAGCACACAGGTAATGAATAGCTGTCAAACTCTGAGCAATCTAATTCCCTGAAGAAAGGGCTGGCAAGAGTGAAGTGGGTGGGAGGCCCTCTGTCCTGGAAGATACAGGAGAATAAGGCAGGGGAACCAGGTCAAGAAAACAAAAGCTGAGGGGCACTCTGCCCCCAGCCCTGCTGCACACTCATGCCTAAGTGCTGCCTTGCGTTGCTCCCTGGAGAGCCTCAGCCTAATCAAGCCCCGCTCGGCCCTCAGAATCCAGCTCAGATGTCACTGCCTCCTACCCCCAAAGGTTCTCCAACTCCTCAGTACCATGTGAAGTCTATCTTTGGGCTGTAGGACTCTGTGCCACAGATAATTGCTTTCATAGGGGTGGGAGAAAATATTAGTAACAGGAGAAGAATATGGGCTTTGTAATCAGACAGGATTTCATGTCCCTATTCTGCCAGTTAGTAACTGCGATCTTAGGTAAGTAACTGAAGATGTCCTGAGCCTCAGCTTCCTCATCTTTAAATGGAGACTTTTTTAAAAAACTGGCAAAGATAATACTATGTGTTCATCATGCTGTTTATTCTTTGGAGGCACACAGGAAGACCACATTTACCAGCCTCCCTCGCAGCTGAGTTGGTGCCAGGCCTGGCCCTTGAAAATATCCCACATCATCTTTGCACAAGCAAAAACTATAATTTTATTGTGTTAAGCCATTTGAGTATTTGTTACTGCAGCAGAGCACATAGCCTATCCTTGCAAAAATAGGTAAGTAAACGATTTAACCTGGTTTGCCTGGCATAAAGTTAGGTATTAAGAGCTTGGACTAATCTGGTGGCAGTGGAGCTGGGGAAAAAATGTGTTTGAGAATTACTCCTGAGTCAGAACTAACCAGACCCAGTGATGGTCTAGATGTAGAGGGCGAGAGAATGGGGGGTATAAAAGAACTCTACCTTTCTGGCCCAGCACAGTGGCTCACTCCTGTAATCCCAGCACTCTGGGAGGCCTAGGGAGGAGGATCACTTGAGTTCAGGAGTTCAAGACCAGCCTGAGTAAGAGCAACACCCTATCTCTACAAAAAAATAGAAAAATTACCCAGGCATGGTGGTGTGTGCCTATAGTCCCAGCTATGCAGGAGGCTGAGGCAGGGGGATTGCTTGAGCCCAGGAGTTTGAGGTTGCAGTGAGCTACGATAACACCACTGCACTCTAGCTGGAGTGACAGAGCAAAACTTTGTCTCCAAAAAACGGAATTACTCCACCGTTTCGGTTTGTGCTGCTGGATGCAATTGGGCCATTTACAAAGATAATGAAAAACTGGAAGAGAAGTTGTGAGGAATATCAAGTTCTATTTTTCACATTAAATCTAAGATGCTACTGAGACAGCCAATTAAAAAGATAGAGTTTGGAATTAGATATAGGAGTCTGGGAGCAGTTTGGGCTGAAGGTAGAAACTGGAAGTCATCAGCCTATACTTGGTACTGAAAGATATGGAATTAAAGACCCCAAACTGAGGCCCGAGGAATTAGGTATTTAGAAATCTGCCAAGGAAGAGCAGCCAGTGAAGGGAGAGAAATTTCTCTTCTCTCTAGTCACTCAAGGAAAGGATACGAACCATTACTTCTGGATGCTGCATCAACTGTGTTACATACTAATATTCTAATTTTATGATTAAGAAGTACCTCAAACTGGAAGGATTTAACATTTAAATACTATAACTGTTTTTCAACTCTGTAAATTCTAGTTACGTCTTTTTGACATCATGGTTACTATACCATGAGTGTAATTGACTGTGTATGCCTAGAATTTCTGGATGAACCTCATTCTTAGGCCTGCTTGAAAAGACCAAGACAAAGATAATGTTTTTAAAGATGAGTTCAACTGTTTTTTATTTCTAATGAGAAAAAAAGGTAAAATTACTTAATTTTCTTCCTTGTTCAGAAGATCAATTTGTTTTGCTAATTGTTATTTAAAAGTGTGCTTTGTGTTATGTATGAAGTTTTCCATAGATAATTTCATGCTCAATGTAGTAAGCTTTCGCTGAATACCTAAAGTAGGCCAGGGACTTGGCTAGGTGCCAGGGGGGATCAAGTGATAGGCTCTGCTTTTCAGGAATAGAATTGTTTTAAAACCAGTTTCGCTGGTTCTGTATAGCATAGTATAATGGACTTCTAAAATCTTAAATTTAGATAAACATCTCAAAGATAACAGTTCTCAATCATTTTTTAGTAGCCATGGTGTTCAGTGATAAGGAAACAGTCCTATACACAGCAGCATCACTTGCTAGGTATGTGACCTTGGGCAAATCATTTAACCTCAGTGGGTCACAAACCTACCAGATAGTTATTGTGAGATTTAAATAAAATGTATGTGCAGAAATGTCTCCTAAGGAACATAAACAAAAGGTGACAACTATCTCATCTAAAACACTGAGCAAACATGCTCTTCATATATTCAACAATGACAGTTAGATGACAAGTAAACTTCCTCAACAGAGGATATTCTTAGTACCTGAGCTAGACCTCCAGCATGTATCAGTGTGACGTCAGGCATCCAGGAACATCCAGGAACCACTAAGCCATAAAGCGCAATCACAAAGTAAGGGACAGAATAGAACATATATGCCAGCATCTGTATTGAACAGAGAAATCACATCATCAGCAAATTAGCAGTTAATGGCCTAACAAGTACAAAAAAAAATCAACATTTTCATCTTTGAAAATGTTAATTTCTATTTCCTATATGGGACCATACCTTCCCCTTTTTATTTTTTTGAGACAGAGTCTCACTGTGTTGCTCAGGCTAGAGTGCCATGGCGTCAGCCTAGCTCACAGCAACCTCCAACTCCTGGGCTCAAGCGATCCTACTGCCTCAGCCTCCCGAGTAGCTGGGACTACAGGCATGTACCACCATGCCCAGCTAAGTTTGTCTATATATATTAGTTGACCGATGAATTTCTTTCTATTTATAGTAGAGACGGCGTCTTGCTCTTGCTCAGGCTGGTTTCAAACTCCTGACCTTGAGCAATCTGCCCTGCCCGTCTCGGCCTCCCAGAGTGCTAGGATGACAGGTGTGAGCTACCACGCCCAGCCCCTTCCCATTTTTAAATAGAGAAAATTAACTTTAGAAAAATCGTAGTCTTTACAACTATTAATACTTGACCTGAATTTTAGGATAAGCAGCAGGATCCTTCAGGTAGGGCTCTTGGAGTTGTGTATATAATCGGCAGAGCTCAGACGGGCAATCCAAAGCAATCTAGGGACAAAATAAAGTCATTGTAAAAATACAGTTACATCTGGTTCTTAGGTTTGCTCATAAGACTAAACATGTCAGGTTTAGTCACAAGCTGCTTTGCCATTTAACAAAAACTATGCATTGTAGAGGCTCATCAATGAAAGGGAAAGAAAGGAAATAAATATTCTGTAGATTGACTCCAAAGAGATTAAGCAGAGGTTAATCACAGAGCAGGAAATGGAAACTAATGCTCTATTCTTGGATACCTTTCGAATATTCAGAGTTTTAAGTATCTAGGTTTGGCTAGCCAAAGCACAGCTTGCTTTAGATTCCCAGTTTCATTTTTCCTGGAAATAACTAGCCAACGATTCCCTACCAGAAAAAAAGTATATTTCTACACCAAATTTATCTTACTATGCTTTATAAGATTCAAAAATAGCATCCTCCTCTCTCCAGTGCCTCACAGTATATGGCCTTTGGGGGCAGTAAAGGATAATGATTTGAAAGCAGGGTCCTCTCTCTGAAGCCACCTCCAATGTCCACTTTGAAAGAGAGCAGAGCAGATTTAGTCATGGTGGTGTAGACTCTAGGCCACAAATAGACAATTGTCCCTTTGGCACATTGCTAGGTCCCCTCTGAGTCACCTTCCCCCTCAGGCACCATTCCTCGTGTCCTTGGCCATAAATGTCCCACCCAGATAATGTATGAACGTGGGCCAGTGGTTGAGTTGGTAAAAATGGGCCCCAAAGGACAACTCTTAAAACAGCTTTTTGCCCCGAATCCAGCTAGCTGCATAGGATCCTTAGATACAACCCGAGGACCCCAAAACCATAAGTTAGATACATCAGCTTCCACTTTTCACTCTACTCCCCAAGTGCTGTGCAGTGCAACTCCACAGGCTCACAGTAGTTAGTAATTATCACTGAAGATGAATATAATTAACCATATAATTCTGAGCTCCTCAAATTCATTTCTACCAAGAATGAATCATGAAACTATAGCATTGTGAAGGATCACTGATCAATAAAAATAGTAACAGCAGTCATATATTAAGCACTTACTATGTTTTAGGTCCTCTACCAAGTGTTTGATGCATATTATTTAATCTTCAAAACAATACTATATTCCATGTGGTGGTTAGATATGAAAAAAAAAAAAAAAACAATACTATAAGGTAGGTACTATTATTTTACAAAGGAGAAAACGGGGGATCAAAGAGGATAAGTAATTTTTCCAAGGCCACACAGCTAGTAAATGGCCAGGATTCCAACTCCAAGGCCTGTGGGTCTTTTTCTTAACCTCTACACTATAAAAGTGGTAAAGGAAAAATACAAAAAAATGAAATTCCCACATTCCCTTCATGTATTTCAGTCACATCAATATAAAGACTCCAAAGCTGGGCATAATTTAGTCCACGCTACTCTTACCAGGGAGAAAGTCACATGACCCTACATGGGTGTGAACTATTGATCGAGTGCCCCTTCCTCAACCCCACCAACCCTGCTTCTGAAAACACAGGGATGTTCTGTGCCATGGTTGTATCGGGTATCACCCTTACCAAAGATAATTACATCTAAATCAGAAACGTCAAACGACTCAAAAGCATGGGACTCTAATGGCTCATTTTTCAGGGGCCCTAAAATAAGGGAAGGAAGATACTTTGAGTGGAGCTTTATCTAAGGACCAGAGGGAGGGGGTAGAAAACAGCCCCAGTCCACAGCTCCAGGCTCTCATGAGAAGAATAGTGTGATAATTTGCTAAGAAGTCTGATAAAAAAACAAAAACATATTTTCAGGTTTTTCCCATTTGGAAGTATTAGTAGTATAGTAATGTTATGTTACTTCGGTCTGTTATGCTTACCAAGCCTCTGAGCAGGCAAAATCCAGTTGCCAGGAGGAGGCACACGACCAACATTAAATCAAAGGGTCTTCTCAGCAGGTCCTTCGCTTGGGCTTCTTGAACAACCTAAAATAGAGTTTGTAACTAAAGAGCAGGCCCCAAGTGCCAAACGAGAATCTGAAATCTGAAACACGAAATGCTATGACAAGGGATGACAAGAGAATTTAGAAGATTCAGAGTTGATATAATAAAGTGCTGGCCATGCAACTTTAGGAAAATCATTCCCTCTGTCACATCTCAGTTTCCTCATCTGTGAAATGAAGAGACTGGGCCAGATGTTCTTGAAGGGGCCCTCTAGCTCTATGAGTCCATATTTTTCTTACAATGACATTTTCATAATTATAAACACACACTCAGTTGAAAAATAGAAATGTAAACCATAAGCCCACCATTCCACTATTAATAGTTGGTATACTTTTCCAGTAATATATATAAATGAATATATTACATATATACACACATACATACACATATAATCTGCATAATCTGTATTCACAAAATTAGGACTTTGTATATAAATAATTCTGTATTCTTTTTGCCCTCAATATCTACCTATATTATAAGCACTTTCATACATTATTAAAAATGCTTCTAAAACTAATACCATATAGAAGCATCAGTCTTTAGCAGTTCTCCCATCTTTGGACATTTAGGCATTTTTCACTGTTACTCTTAATGTGATAATGAAAACTTTGTACATAAATCTTTGGCAGCATCTCCCTGATGATTTTCTGAAGGTAGGGTCCTACAAGTGGAATTATGAGGTTGAAGGGTTAAATTTGTTAAGATTGGTAACATTGCCAAATTGCTTTGCAGAGTACTTCTAAATTTATGTTCCTGTCAGCACTGTATGACACTACCCGTTCGGTCCTGGCCATCACTGTGTTTTAGCATTAAAAATAACAAATAGTTCTACGTGCCTCATGACATAAATACTCTGCTGACATGCAACCTCCAAAAGCAGTGGAGCCAAGACTACGGGTAAGGTTACTATTTTTTCTTTTTAACAGCTACCTCCTTCCTCAAAGGGATGGAAAGGGGTCCCGATTGTCGGTGTGCCAGCCAGGGTTTATACAGCAGGTGTCTGAATGTTTGCACATGAAGTGTCTGTAAATTTTAATGTATTTTAATGAATTCTGTTGTAAATCTCTTTGTAAAATGAATAATCATGTTCTGATTATCTCTAATAATTCATATTTTCATATATCAATTTAGCTTAAAGGATCTTACTACATGATCTAATACCTATAAAAGGAAGAAACTTAGAAAGATAAACTAGCTATGAAATGAAGACCTTAACAGAGTGCCTGCCAGACCAGTATCGTTTCACCTTGACCACTTTGGATGTGGATGGAAGAGAGATGTCTCAGAAGACGTCTCCATGGGCCTGGATCTCCTGGAAATCAGACCCTGTGGCTACGTGGAGTAACTTGAACAGCAGTTTCTCTCCAGCATCCTTTCAGGACAGCAAATATATAGGTATCACAGAAAGAGGTGCCCAAGTGCTCAAAAGCCAGGCCATTAACAGCCCCAGCCAGACCACACACTGTGGACTTCATCTAGTACACAAATGCACAATCTGATGCCTAAGAGCCAGTGTGGCCATGGGCACGAGAAGTTCCCAAAAGTATGGCCTTGTCAATAGATACACACGTATTCAGACAGAAACAGACCGTAATGGCTGCATTAACTAAGATATAAACTAATGCCACATAATCAAAACAGTCACACTGATTGAATGCCCTGAATGCCCCAGTCCACAGAGTCATAGTTCAGTTCAGTGGTCAGTGGATGTGAATGAGCCCTTTGAGTTTGAGAACGGATTACATCAAAACTTTATAAAATCACCTTTGAGGGATAATTATAATTTTCTGATGGCTGATTATAGATTCTGAAACCAGCCCAGACAGGAAGACAAGTATATGGTATGCTTAAGAAAAAAGCAGGGCAAATTCGTGTTCCATACTTTCCTATTTAAAAGAGAGAAAGAAAGAGAAAGTCAAAAGTTTACCAAAAGCACATCTAACACAAGTAACATTTAGAATACCTCCCCATCTCAAGTCATCTAAAATTTTGTTACAGGCCATACAATATTTTTAATGAGACCCCCCCCAAAAAAGGGGATCAGTTTAAAACTATTACATGTTTAGTATTAACAGACATGTCCTATCTATAGTATTTTAAAAGCATATTTAATATAATATCCTGATTTCCTACATGCATAAATAAGCTCTTTTACTTCAGCCTTCAAGAATCTTAATTTGCAAGTACATTTTTGGAGCTCTCATTGTGTCTGGAGTTATATCTAATACAAAGAGTTTTAAGAAATATTTTCACACTAAATGTAGCCATAAACACCATACTCGCCCCCTCTACATCCTTCTAAAAAGTCAGGAATCCCTGATACTTGACTCTCTCATTGTTCAATGCACACTTCTGAAAATTGCTCAAAAGATATGATTAAGGAGGGAAAAAAGAATGAATGTGCAAAACAGATTTTTGGTAAGCGTGGAATCTCTAGGTTCTATTATCACCAAAATAGCTTCTCTGTTTAAAAATAAGCCCCATTGTTTCAGAAAAGGAAAATGAATTTTAAGATAAAGTTTCTTACCTACAATGTTTCCTGGCACAAAAACAACAATGCTCATAATAATAGATCCAACCCAATATAGGCCAATGGTTCTATAACTTTCTCTGTAACAACAAAAGAAGCTTGACTTAGTGCATTTGTCTTAGTGCACTATGAGCAAAAGATGACCCTCAATATTATTTTTATTCAAACTAGTTAAGCACATGGAACAAAATAAATCAAACACAAGGAGCCCTGCTAATCAAACTTCATTTCCATGTGTGATATACTGTATAGCCTTTATTGTGTCATTTTAAATAGGAAATTATGCTGCCTACACTGATCTTCTGTTAAACTGCAACATGGTCATCACTGCCAAAGGACTCCTGGATTTCCATATTATGTATGAAACCCACAGCATGAAAAGAAAAAGTTCGAAGAAGAAAGGAAATTGGATTCCTATTTCAAAACATCGTAAGTATGAGTCATAGGATAGTTTTGTTTTGTTTTGTTTTGTTTTTTTGAGACAGAGTCTCACTTTGTTGCCCAGGCTAGAGTGAGGGCCGTGGCATCAGCCTAGCTCACAGCAACCTCAAACTCCTGGGCTCAAGCAATCCTTCAGCCTCAGCCTCCCGAGTAGCTGGGACTACAGGCATGCGCCACCATGCCCGGCTAATTTTTTGTATATATATTTTTAGTTGGTGAATTAATTTCTTTCTATTTTTAGTAGAGACGGGGTCTCGCTCAGGCTGGTTTTGAACTCCTGACCTCGAGCAATCTGCCCACCTTGGCCTCCGAGAGTGCTAGGATTATAGGCGTGAGCCACCACACCCAGCCTGAGTCATAAGATGTTAAATGGACTTACCCTGGGTCACAGAATCCTGGCCAAAGCCCCAAAGGTGAAGATAATAAATGACATGTACCCCATGCTATAAAGGAGCTGCTAGACATACACCCCTAATTGTCAATGTTGAGAAAAAGTTCCTTCAACTAATAACCCCAATAACCCAACTCCATACTATGTAATAGGCTATGAGAAAAATTCAAAAGGAAGACTCTCTGAAGGGAAACAGAAATGAAGAATACTGTGTGCTTCCTGTCCCACCCCAGCCCTCAAGCCAAATACAACCAAACCCCAAGGGTCCCATTCACAATGACTGGGATTGTCACAGGGAGGACAGACAAGAATTAGCTGGCACTGTCCTTGAGTACATCATGCAGGGGGGTGGGGGTCAAACTGCAGCCTTGAATAGGGCAGAAGTGCATGGCTTTCTCTAACCTCCGGAAACAAACGGAGGCTGGGAAGGTAGTTGGTCTTGAGACATCATGAAAGATTCCTCCCCAAAGGGTAGACCTCCTGGGTTACAGGGACCCCAGCAGCAAGAAGCTGTGGGTGTCCCATCACGGGCAGGCAAGACACAGGAATTCAGCAGAGAGAGCACTGTTCACCCAGAGACTGGTGCCAGGCAAAGGTTCCTGTGGCAGGGGTCACCAAAGAACCCACACGTGTGCCTCACAGGACTAAGTCAGTATTTCACGACAGACAGAGGGTGCCAGTAACCAAAGAACAGCCACTGTCAGCGTCTCCAATCCCATGTTCACACACACTCCCAGAGCCAGCTGCAGGGTGAGGTGAGAGAGGACGAAAGGACCACATCCCCAAGCCTCAGAGCTACACGTGAACTGGGGGAAAGACAGAAGTCTTGAACTAAAATGAGACTGAAGTTTTGAAATTTAGATTAAAGTTTGGAATGTGCTTGGCTTTAATTTTTGAAAATGAGACTGTTCTTCTAAGAGAACATACTCAGAAAGCCAAGGTCTGCCCGAGCTGTTGCAGAGCAGCCCAAGGCACGTGTTCAAAAGGCAGTGGTACGAGGAGAACCTAGCCATGTCTGCCTTGCACCCCTGGAGCTTCCATTCACGTAGGGGTGTACCTGTTTGCGCATCTGCCTCTATGCGTAACAATTCCTTACATACCACTTATCAGTCGCTAAGGTGGCAAGGGCACACACCGGTGAACTGACTTACTCCCATGCTATGGCCGCCACCATCACCAGGTACATCAGATAATGCGCGGAGCCATCCCAGTAGCAGATCATGTGCCCATATGCAGTGTTCAGATACGGTTCACCCTGAGGAGAGCATTAGAAAGAAGTCCACTTTAAATAAGACTCAGACATTTCGATGCAGAACACCAGGCCTGTATTGCAAGAAAAATAAAACAGCAGAACAAATTTGTGTTAGTCTGCTAGGATGAAACTATTCCTACCTCGCTACAAAACTGTTAGAAATGTGAAACAATAACTTTACCCCAGAGCTGCCAAAATGAGGGTGTGGCCACAGAGGCTGGAACTAGAGAGGGCCTGCCAATGGCCTGTGATGCATCAACACAGGTCTGCGCTGTGATACGAAGGTACATGGTGGTACAGGCCATCCTGGCGTCATGGCAAACTCACTGAGGCCAAGCCAAATCTGGGACAAAAGGTGCTTGGCTATGGCCAGAGGGGTGACCAGGAAAGACCCTGCCCACCAAAGCCACTGGCTGACCTTAATAATTCGTGCTGATCCCATGGCTTACTGGGCTGGGCATGGGGACAGCGCTCATTGCCCACACACCTACACACAGGCAGGCACTGAGCTCAGAGCCTCACACCCAACCCCTCATTTGACCCTCCCAGCAACCCCATGGGATGGATAGGATTGACTGCATTTCACAGATGAGGAAATAGAGGCTCCTAGAGGGAACACGACTAAGGCCTTGTAGCTAATGTCTAGTGGAGACTGTACTACCACGAAAAGCCATACCTCTCCTGGGAAATTTTTAACTTTAGGAAAACAAGACTATATAATGAACTACATTTCCCTTTTGCAGGTGGTTCCATTTGCAGGCGGCTCCTAGACAATCGCTATCAAATTTTCATGGGTTTTACTGTTGTTCTGACTCCACCTGTTTTCCTTTCTTCTCTCTCCCGTGTCTGTGCCCTCCTGGCTGTGTCGCTGTCTCCCTGCCCTGCCCCAAGTCCTTTCTACAGCAGGGAAGAGTGTGGATCAGCCAGCCCGTCAATCAGCCAGCCACGCAGGCATTCACTGAAGCTTCGTGCTCCCCTGGGGCAAGGACTGTTCTGTCATCTCTCCCCACAAATCAAATCAAATTAAAATCACAGAGGAGGGGGAAACAGAACTGAAGCTGTACTTCTATACCCAAGCCTGGCCCACATCGCCCCTCTCTGACATGCTCTGGCTGAAGAATACGTCCAATGTGATGGTTTCAATCTTTCCTGCCTGCACACCTGGCTCTCAGAGCCAGAGCTGTCCCCTCCTGGTGGCTTGATTGACATCTAATTGGGTGGTCCCTAGGCCCTTCGAACTCACCTGAACGCCTTTAATTCATCAGCGTCTCCCCTCAACCAGCCCCCGCCTGGCCTCTCTGCATTAGGGGCCATGCCACTCAACTTACCAAGGTCAAAACCACCGCGTCATTTTTCTTTTATTCCTCATTCTCCTGTGCAGTCTTTGGAAAATCCTATCAATTTTATTTCTGTAATGTCACCCCCCCTTCATCATGGCCTCAGTTAAGCCCTCAGCATCCCTCACTGGACCACTGCTACCTTCCCAAATGGTCTCCCTACCTCTGTTAGCTTACATACAAAGCTCCCCGTTACTTGAAACACAGGTGAAGACTATGTATGCTTTCAGCTCTGCTCTTTATTTCCTGTGTGACCTGAGTAAGCCACTTAACCTCTCTGGGGCTGGATTCAGCCCACCCTAAAATAAGAAAATAGGACGAGCTCTCTTAGGTGTCAGGGAGCTCTGTAATGCTATGATTCGGGTAGGGCAGGGGGAGTGTCCATCATCACAGTCAAATGGCTTTTTTAAGTGCCTCAGTGTCTGGTACTTCACCAGCTGAAGACTGACTTGGGCTTTCTGAGATACTAATGTAGTAACACAGACACACAAATACTAAATTCATTTAGCGTACCTCATTTATATTAAATACAAATAAAGGGGAGAAGTAGGTCATGTCAACATGTGGGTCTTGAGTGAGAGGAGCCGTGAGAACTGACTGTTGGGGAGAATTGCCTCCCACGGTCTGATCTCGCCTTTCTGCTTCACTTTCCCTGGGAATAAGCAGCCTGAGTCTGTTACAGGACACGCAGCGCCACGTACCGGACCCGCGTACACTAAATGAGAGAATTTCTGTCTCTGGGCCCGTGGTCTGGGCTGCTGGCCCTTTGGTTTAAGCCTCGTCGTCACTAAGCAGTCCCATACCTCTCTCAAATAGTACGTCATGAACCCGTCGATGATCCCATCTTGTTCCAGTCCTATGATGAGGTTCACCACGCTGGTAAATCCAAAAACTGCAAACACTAGAGCAAAGAAAGCAGCCGTTTAAAAAGCAGCAGCTCAGGAGGGACAATTACTAAGCGTTTGGCATTAGCTGATAATAATGGAATGTTTTTAATGCTTTCCAGAAGACACTGTGGACATCACCAACATAGAACAGACCTTCTGCACATCCGGCAGGATCTCTGTCTGTGCTCATGGACCTCCCCAGCCCTGCCCAGTGTTCTCACCCAGGAACAAGAATAACAAAGTCACTGCTAAGTCTGTCCCAGAAGATCCTACAGGTCACCCTACCCATACTCCCCTCCCTACATGCCCACATCCCACCTGGGCAGTGGGTACAAAAGCAGTAACCAAGTGGCCAAGGGAGCAGAGAGGTGACCACCAGGTTTAAAATGATGCAGATGAGGTGATTCATCCCAATGATGACCAAGCAGCTACTCACAGTGCGCTGCGTCTGCCCTGCTCCATACTGGAGCTCCTGAAGACAGGCAGGACGCTGATGTACAAGTGACAGTGGAAAAGAAAAAAAGCCAGTGATTTTAAAAAATGAATACAAGATGGTACAACTGAATACCAAAAAAGAAAAGCTGTAGCATCATAGAGAATCTTACTGGAGTTGTGGGCATCTCCTAAATGGGCTTAAAACTACTAGCAGCAAACAGCTGCGGAACAATTTTTAAACAGCAGGTGATGAAATTTAGTGCACATCAGTTTGTCAAAGCTGCATTTCCAAGTTGTCATAAATCTGCGTCTCAGCCTATGGGATGGGCATGGACAGCAGAAAAATCTGACAGTGAATATAATAAAGGCTGTGAAAGAAGAAATGGAGAGGAGAGAGGAGAAGGTGGACTCGGAGGAGAGAAGCCAGCCTTGCCCAGAGCCTGCGGCCGCGTGCCAGCATTCACATCTGCCTTGCCAGGAGCGCGAGGCCCGCTGGTGCGCCGTCCTGCAGACGCGCCTAACCCGTGTCTCCAGGGACGCCTTCAGCCCAGTCCTCACCGACAGCATCACTTTTTGACACTCATTTTACAGAAGCCTCCTGGGTGATTAGCCATCATCCGTCTCCCAGGGACGGAAGTGCTCCGCACGTCATCTACCAGTGACCGCTGGGGCGGGGTCTCTGCTTTCTAGGGGGCGAGGAGTCTGGCCTGGGCCCTGGCCCTGAGGCTGCAGCGTGATCAAAGCTATAACAGCGGCCAGGACAGGGGACTGAGGCTGTAGGAGAGTGGGCATCCGGCCTCGAAGAGTCATCAGGACAGTTAGCGTGGACTCCGTGGAGTGGGCAGGGAGAAGGGGGCCAGACAGCACCGGAGACCAGTGTGGAAGGGCAGACGGGCCTGGCAGCCAGAGGGCCCAGCTCATCTGCGGACGGCTGCAAAACCTTGGGCAAGTTACATCATTTCTCCAGGCTTCACTTTTTTATATGTGGATTGGGAGAAGCTAATTACTCACAATTATTCTTTCTCAGCCCACCTTTGCCAAGGTCCACTGTGGGCAGAGAATGCTCCCTACACCATTGATGATGGGCTCGGCCCTGTGACGCTTCAGCCACTGAAATGTGGGTGGCAATGACGGGACAGCTCCAAACCAAGGCCACCAGCCCCTCTGTGCTCTGTACCTGCCACGAGAAGGGCACGGCCTGGGGAGCTGTTGCTCCAAGAACACAGAGACACATGGAACAGCCTGAATCCAACCCACAGCCTGAAGCAGAGCGGCCGCAGCCAACGCACAAACCCGAGAGCAAGAAAAATAATGTCTGTGGCTGTAGGATTTGACACGCAGCATCACTGACGCAGAAATTTAAATGTCCAGCAAAGTGTCGGGCACAGGAAGTGCTGAGAGGCCAGTAACAGCTTTGCTTTAGGCACAATGAAAGGGCATGGGCTTTGGGGACCAATGCTATTCTCACTGACCACGTGACCGTGACCACATTTCGTAGCATCTCTGAGCCAGTGTCTTCATTTTCCAGCAGAGGGAATGTGAGGATTAAATAGAGCGATGCCACTAAAGTGCTCAGAGCCGTACAAGGCACACTCAGAGGCATTGTTATTTATTTAACATACATGTATATTTGCCAGGCACTGTTCTAAATACTTGACAAATATTATCTTATTTAACGTATCAACTCTCCATGGCAGGTACTATTTATTTTCCTCTTTATGGAAATGAACAGGAGAGGCAAGGTACCGCTGAGTTCAGCACGAGGTGGGGGGGACTGCAAGTAGCAGTCTGAAGGCAAAAAGCCCAGGATGAGGCTGGTACAGAGGTCAGAGGTCAAAGCATGCTGGGGATTTGGGAGCAAAGAATGGAGGGGTGCTCTGCCTGGCCCTGGCAAGAACCCTCCAGCAGGACCCCACCTGGGGAGAGAGGGGGGTCCAGACCCCGGAGAGGTGACAGCTTGGAGGTGAGGGCCATGTGGTCCTGCAGCACCTGCACCTCCAGCCACTGTGACCAGTGGGCTCAGCATTCACAACCAACACATGTGACTGAGGCTGGAGTATTACATTATGAAGTAGAATGATTTCCCTCCAGGAAGACCTACCATAGAACAGCGGGTCCCGGGGTGGTTTTCTTTTGACAAGGACTCGAGCCAGCAGGGCTACCAGGAGCAGGATGAGGGCAGCAACCCCTACAGTGGTCCAGGAACTGCAGCAAGCAGAACAGGGAGGTGGTCACTAACAAACACACTGGTGCCTGGAATTTCCTGCCTATTGAACACACTCTCTCCCAGCGCTGTGTAATTCGTACATAATTCTGCCTCTGCCTGCAGCGCATGGCACCGTAGATGGAGTTCGTGAAGTGTATCTGCAGCACTTTGGCCCATCTGGGCCACAGCCCCTGAATTCCAGGGACCAGAGCCATCACTCTCCTCTCCCTCACTCTCCTCTTACCCTGCCCACCTGCCTCATGCACACAGACAGTGTGTCTGGAACTCCCTTTTCCGCCTCCCCACCTGCCCCTGAGATGGCCGCTGCCCTGCTGCCTCTACCTACCCACTCCTCTAAGCCCCATTCCCAGCGGCTGACAGGCCTGACCACTGATCTGCCACCTCCCTCAGGGCCAGTCGGAGACCCTCAGACCAAGCTCCAAGGAACACACAGGCATCACAGCCTCACACACTTTCCAAGGGGACAAGGAAGAAGGGGCCATACATCATGTGCAGAAGCAAATGGGCCAGAGAATGAGGCCAGGGAATCCAAGGAGGAGAAGAGTCTAGGCTAGACCTGAGGCCAGAATGAAGACAGCCAGACACCCACATCCAGGCCAACAGGCCAGCATCCAACCCCACTAGCCAGAGAAACCAAGGTAAGGCTTGGCTGGGCACATCCCCTAGTCCTTCTGGGGAAGGGGAATTGCACCAAGGAGACCAGGGGCCAAGGCCCCTATTCAATGGGGCAGCCCTGGGGCATGAGACTCAGTAGAGTTGGCAGTCAAGAGACCTGGTTCCTAGTACCCACTCTACTGCTGCTAACTATGTGACCTTAGTCACACGTTGCATTCATCTGTTTATTAATTAATTGAAGAACATTGAAGAAAAAACATTTTGCACACCCCTATGTGGCAGGCACTGTTACAGGACCTAAGAAGACTAGATGAATAAGAAAGGTCCCTGTCTACAGGGAGAGACCTATCAGTGAACTCCGAACTTGAGTTCTTCTCCGAACTTGAGTCACCTCCAGTCCAGGAGAGATCCTCTCCCTCTCACACCTCCAGCACCAACAGGGCTTCCAATTCTAGACAAAGAACCATCTGGCCCACTCCAATGGCCTGCTATACTAGAACCTCCTCACAACCCCTTAGGACTGCCACAAGCACCACTCCTCAGCTGAGACCCCTCCACACCGCCACAACCAACAATGGGCCCTCTAGAGAGCCTTAGCCATATGTCCCTGGGAGAGAGAAAGAGAAGGATAAAAGGAGGGAAGGTGAGGAGCAGGGCACAAATAGATGATAAATAGATGGATAGATGGATGATGGATGGATGGATGATAGATGAATGATGGATGAATGGAATATGAATGGTGGATGGACAGATGGATGATGGATGGACAGAAGGATGATAGATACATAGATGGACTGATAGATGGATGGACAGAAGGATGATAGATACACAGATGGACTGATAGATGATGGATGGGTGGATGATAGATACATAGATGAACTGATTGATGATGGATGGACTGATGGATGATGGATGGATGGGCTGATGGATGGATGGATGACAGATGTAGGGAGAAATACATTAGTTCTATGATAAGAATGAGATGCAATGTCAGTGTCCAGGTGAGAAACTAAAAATTGGTTTCTGGTGGTGCACATGAGTGGATGCTCCAGGCTCCTCCTATGGGATGAGCCGAAGGAGGAAGCTAAAGTGGGTCAAGAGCGAGATGCTGTGCGGAAACATCCGTGAGGAGGGCAGCAGTGCAGTGTGCCGGGTAGGCTGACAGCCGCAGGTGGTGGTCAGGAGACACATCCATCCCTGCTCCTACCAAGGGCCTGAGCTCACAGCCAGCACAGTCACCGGCCGTGCATGTCTGGAGTACGAGAGAGCAGTGTAAACTGGTTCAGGGTGTCCTCTCATGCTCTCCACCCCTAGAGAGAAGGGAAGAATGAAGTGAAACTGGGTCAGCAGATCATCTCTGTCTCCTGGTGTGGTCCCCAGAGACGTACCTACAACAGCCTAGTGCAGGGGCTGCTCAAAACAGGGAGAAACACGCCCAGCGGAGACTCGGGGATGAGAAGGACTGAGGCTAACTGAGGGATGAAAGGTGGTTAGTCTGAGGGAGTGGGAAGGGCTAGTTATGCCCGTCTATGAACAGACACCTACTGAGAGGGGACGTGTATGGAAGAGTATGAGCAGAAAGAGAGAGAGACCCTGACCCTTTCCTGACCCTCAACCTAATTTGCTTTTCTGTTTTTCAGACTTTCATAATAGGTCTGGTGGGAAGGAAGCTCAATTTAACAAAGTCAAACAACCGAATGCACAAGGCACCGGGCTGCGCAGGACACTACCAAGGTGAGCCGTAGCCTGGCCAGCTAAGTTCTGACCACAGAAAACTCCAATCAAGGGGCTGAGGGGGCTCAAAGGAGGGGGAGGAGGGAGGAGGGTCTTCAAAACGAAAAAGTGGCATTTTTCTCTGGCCCATAAAGTCCAGGTGTGGCTTCAACAGTCAGCGACGGGGAGGAGGCAGCACCCCAGCCAGAGGGAGCAGCGTGAGCACAGCAAGGAGGCAGGAGTGTACAGGAGTGTTCCAGGGGCAAAGGCAGTCTGGGGTCACTGAAGCATTAGTGTGTGTGTGGGGTGGGGGGCAGGCTGTGGCCAGGCCTGGGGCAGGGGGCTCAGGCGGGAGCCTTTGCCACAGGTCAGAGGGCCAGTGCCAAGGAGAACTGAGAGGAGGGAATAGATACTGGACTAGCCCTGAGACTTGCAGGGAAGGGACAGTAGGAGGAAGGGAGTGGAGAAAGGAGAGAGAGAAGTCAAAGGCCATTGGGATTTTAACCTGCAGGAGGGTAAGAAGAAGGGTTGGAACTAATTATTCAAAACATTATAGCAATGCGCTCAATAATGCACAGCAATACATAATTCAGTCTGTATTCGGTAAACGCCATCACCGTCTTCCCAATGGCTGAGGCCGCAACCTAGGCGTCATCCTCAAACCCTCTTTGCTGCCATGCAACCCTTCAGTAAGCCCATCTGCGCTCCCACAACACACGTCGGCTTCCTGCCCCTGCACAGCTTCCTGTTCCCCTGCCTAAAAGGCTGTACCCAGATCTTCCCAAGCTCAAGTGTTACCTCCTCCAAGAAGCCTTCCATGGCCACCAGCCGCCTTCCCAGTCACCCTATTTTACTGTCTGTGTAGCAGGTGGCTATCAGTTTGTGCATTTGTTGATGTCTGTCTCAACACATGTCTCCCCAGCCTTTTCTGGCTTATTCATAGCTATGTCCCCAACCCTTGAAACAGTGCCAAGCACACAGTGGGCACTCAATATATAGTCACCAAACTGTCCATAATGCCATTTTAGGGGCACGGTTGCCCCTGCATTGTGTTGACTGACAGGCGCATAATACTCAGCTGCCCAGAGCTGCCGCTTCCGTGAGATGCAGCCAGAGGCTGGGTCAGACCAAAGGCAGACACTGCCCGGGGCTGGCAATTTGGTGTAGGCGCTGTTGGTATAAAGTGGCTACAGCAGGGAGAAAGGAGGAAGTCACCACTGCACACAGAGGCTGCTCTGCAGCCTGAACGTCTGAAGGGGGTTTGCAGTGTGGGACTGATGTAATTTCCTTAGCACCAACTGCTGAGAAACATAATGGGTTACTTCCTCCTCACCCCAGACAGCAGGCACAGAGGCAGGCACTTCCCCACCGCCCTCTCGGCCTCCAGCTGCCAGGTGCGGTCCCCTAGCCAGTGGCCCTGCAGGACTGGGAACCCAAGCCCTGTGGCCTCCTTCACCCCACCCATTTCCTTAGCATGGAACCGTTCTGCCTCTGGGTCCCACCCTACGCCACCGCCGAGACGTGGAAGCACTTCTCCATTCACAGCACCCCTTCACAGTCCGGTCCCCTTGGATCGTCGCTATAGAGTGGGCGCACAGTCCACCTGACACAGCGAAAACTGGGGCCAGGCTACACCACCAGGCCTAGAACCCACGTCCTGGCCTGTCGGTTCAGGTCTATTTCTGCTAGTCATTCACAACAGTTTCTAAAATTAATAAGAAATGATAAGTATGCGAAAGTCCATACATGGAAACGTTCCCGTGAGACGCCAAAGGAGCACGCCCGAGATAAGGTGGCCAGGCTGCAATTTCCTTGTTTGGTCCGCTCCCACCCCCACCCCGCCCGGAGCTCCCCCAGGGCAGGGGCACGGCTGTGTTACCCTCTGTGACCCGGGTGCCCCGCATGGCGCGCACCAGATCCCCGACCGCGCCGGCCCGGGCTGGCACCCGCTCCCTGCGCGACCCCTGGGGCGCCTCCCCCGCCCTGGCTGGCGCGGGGCCCCCGGGGCGCGAACCGTCAACCCCGGCGCGGCTCGAGCCTCATCCCAAAAGTTACCCGCGCGCCCTGGGCGCGACCCCCGCGCGCTCACTCACTCGTGCTGGGCCGCCAGGTGGTTGAAGACGTAGGTGACCGGGATGGCCGAGAGGGACAGCACGAAGACCCCCGTGGCCGCAGAGGCACTCATCGCGGCGGCCGCGCCGCGCGCCCTTCACCGCATCCCGCCCGGGCGCCCCGCCCCGGCTTCCGGCAGCGCCCGCGCCCCTCGGCGCTGCCCTCCGAGGCGCCCCCGCCGCGCTCCGCCCCGCGCCCCCGCCGCCCGCACCGAGTCCCCTCGCCCGCCCGGCCCGGGGCGCAGGGCCGCGGTGCAGTCCCACGGGTCCTCCCCGCGCTCCCGCCGGGGGCGCCCGGGCTCAGCGGCGCGGGTCCTCGCCTGGTCACGGCCGGGGCTGGGCAGCGAGCAGCCGGAGGGGCGCGGGTCTGAGCCACGGGCCGAGGGGGGTGGAGTCAGACCCGGGTGTCGGAGCAGGAAGGGCGTGCGCGAGCGTCCATGCGGGAGCCCACGACCCGGAGACGGGAAGGGACAACGCTCCGAAACGTTGGCACCTCTCCGCCGAGCAGCCACCGGCCCGCAGCGAGCACAGCTCCTGCACGGAGTAGGAATCCTGGCTTTACACCCCGCTGTCCACTCACCAGCTGTCGACCTTCGTCCAGTTACTTAACCTCTCTGGTGCCCACGACCCGCGCGACCCCTGGGGGGTCTGTGTCTTCCCTGATCCGTGAAAGGAGCATGACCCACTTCACGGTGTTGGTTGTGGGGTGAGCTGAGTTCATGGGGACGAAGCACTTTATTCTGCACTGTTCACCACACTATCTCCTGCAATTCCTTTTTTGTTGTTGTTTTGGTTTGGTTTTAATATTGAAACCGACACTCAGAGAAATGCCAAGACCTGACCGACTGGAACAACGTTCCTTTCTATTCCGGGAAGCGTCCTGGAGGCCTGGTTGCTGCCCAGCTTGGCAGCGGGCTGGAAAGCAAGCCCCCTTAGATGTGGTCAGATAAGTGCTTACTGGTTCTAGAGAATAATGTGTGCCAAGGGCTGCGCTGACTGCCTGAGCTGGCTTTGGGGGCAAGGGGGTGTCAGAAAGCCCCTTGGGGCTGAGCCTGAGCCTGAGTTGGGCCACTGGTGGGGGAAGGGAAGGAAAGTGAGTTCCAGACTGAGAAGCAACTGAGAGAGATCCTGGCGAATACTCAGTGTCCTTACAACTGCAGGGAACTTAAGAGACCATTTGGCTCGTTGTAGACATGAGGAAAATGAGCCACAAAGAAGCTATAACCTGCTCTAGGGCCACGCAACTTTCCAAAAGGCAGCTCTCCTAATCCCCTATCCTAGCTCTTCTTGAAGACTTCATTTCTGAGCACATAATGATAGTGCCTTGGCCCAAACTGGGACATAGCCAAAATTTCTCCAAGAGGTGTCCTCACCCATAACCTGGCCATCGCAACTACCCCTCACCTAAGCCTGGCCACTGTCTTTAAACTCCTCCTTCCTCCCTAACACACCTCCTCCAACACCCCTCATCTCCTCCCAGCCAGTACACCCGGCCACCCCAACTCTCCCATGACCACTAAGCCTTGTTCCATCGATCTTGCCTTCCCTCTTACACCGGTACCCCTGTTTGCCCTGATCCTTCCCCTCAACCTAGACGCACACTCAAGTATCTTCCAATTTAGGAATGTGCTCCCTGGACCTGAGTTTCCTCTTTGTTTACCATCTTCTCTCTTTCCTTCCTCAGCAACATTTGCTATTAATGACCACATCTATGCCGACAGATCCCAAATGATCATTCCTGACCTGTTCCCTTAGCGTGGCTGCTTGGACATCCCAATGGCACCTCACACTCCACATGGCCACGGAATTCCTCATTTTTCCTGGGGACATCTCCTGCTTTATCTCATCTGGTGGCACCACATTCGCCCACTCACCTAGGCGTCCACAGCCGTTCCGACCTCTCCAGAATCCCTTTGGTTACACAGATGTCCCAGTGATACTTTCCAAGTATCACTCAAGTCTGTTTGCCTCTCCCCATCTGCACCACCTCCTAGTTCTGTCTACACCACCTCTCGTCTAGACTATGTCCTAGTCTCCTGCCTCATCTCCCTCTCCCTGACCCCACCTGCTCTAGAAGGCCTTACCTGACCACCCTCCTGAGCCTCCCCTATGCTATCAAGCACACTGCGGGACTGTCTTCATAGTGCTTTTACTATCTGACATCATTTTGGTTACACCTTTGTTTACTCGTCTGTCTCTCCTCTATAATGGAAGCTCCTTGGGGTCAGGAACCTTATCGGTCTTGTTCACTGTTCCAGTGCCATTGTCTATCAGGGGTCCTCAAACTTTTTAAACCGGGGACCTAAACAGGGGACCAGTTCACTGTCCCTCAGACCGTTGGAGGGCCGTTGGAGAGTGCGGCGCACATTCCACACATGTGCACTGTGGGCCCGGGATGAGTCGGCTGCTAAGCAGGACAGGCAGCGGTGGCAAAAACACCCAGCGGGCGGGATAAATGTCCTCGGCCCTCGGGCTGTAGTTTGAGGACCCCTGGCTAGATTAATACCTGATACATAGTAGCTTCTCAAGAAATAATTATACAGTAGGTGGATGCTCTAGATCATCATTGTCCATTAGAAACATAATACAAGCTACAAACGTGAGCCACGTGTACACTTTATCTTACAGCCACGTGAAAAAGGTAAAAAGAAGTGAAATTAATTTTAATATTTTCTTTAGTCCAATATATCCAAAAGATTATCATTTCAAGTCATCAATATGAAATCTATTAATGAGATACTTTACATTCGTTTTTCCATTCTAAGTCTTCAAAATCTCATGTATACTTAACACAGCACATCTCAATTCAGACTAGTCACATTTCAAGTGCTTGGCAGTCACACGTAGCTAGTGGCTTTTCTATTGGACATCACAGCTCTAGACTTACTCCTCCTACCATATTGACCTGGCTTCAATAGTGCTTTCTACTATTGTAAGAATAGGTGTGATAAGTAAATCACTAATCAATTCATTTAACCATCGAACATCCTCAGAGAGTCTTCCATGTTTCCGGCATTGTTCTAAGGGAACACACAAAAATGAATTACAAATTGCCCAAAAAGCCACAATCTAGTTTGAGAGAAAGACGTGTAAACAATTGCCATATGATGCAATAAAAGATGTATGTACAAATTGCTATAGAAACCAGCCAATTTGGTCTGGAGGAGCCAAGAAAAGCTTCAGAAGGAAGTGAAGCTTTAGACCAGCTTTGAAGAACAGCTAGAAGTTGGCTAAGCAGACAAGGAAGAGGTGGAGTGTTCCAGGCAATGGAGCCAGAATGTGTTAAAAGCAGAAATGTGTGAGGGAGCATGTCACTTTATGAACTGCAAGCCATTTTCTCTGGTTGGAAGTGCTGGGATGTCATGCAGGGCTGTCAGGGTGGGCTGACAGGAGGTGAAGACGGAAGGTGATCTGAGGTTCAATGTCATAGAACCTTAAGTGCAAGGATCCATTTATGATTGATAAGTGGGAGGAGGGGCTGACTTAATCAGAGTAGCATCTTTAAACCTCTGTTGGGCAGCTGGTAGGGACCACAGTTTACAAGGAATAGAAATAGAAGGCAAGAAGAACAATTAATTAGGAACTACGACAGTTGTCTTGGCAAGAGATGATGGGACTTGAACCAAAGCGATGGCAGTGAGAAGGAAGAGCAGGAGACAGATGTGGAAGATCCGGATAGGACTTGGAGAAGGTCAGGAGGAAAGTGCTAGAGATGAGTTTGGTTTTAGACATGTTGGGTTTTCACTACCCATGGGGCTCCCAGGAGAAGCTGTCCCACAGGCAATTTGGGCTACTAGTCTGTGGCACCAAGAGCAGCACAGGCTATGGGCTTCTTGGGGTCATCAACATAGAAATGGGGCTTAAAATCAAGAAAATGAATGTCCCATAAAGAAGGTAGAGTCAGAGAGGATGGTAAACAGAAGCCATTTGAGAGGGGCTGGTGAGCTCTGCCACCAGCATGACAGCCTTGCGCTTCTGAACTCCGTGGCAGGAACATCCAACATCCCAGGCAGGGAGCTGCTCCCTCAGAGCCTGCAAGGGCCCCAGGGACATGGCGAAGCCTTGAGGTATTGTGATATAATACTGGAGATTATATGATTTATGCTAACAGCAGTCTCTCTTAATGCTTAAGATATGAGTGGTCAGAATGCTTGCCGTTGGGAAGAATGTTTTGTAGGACCTAACCTGGTTTGGGAGTAGGTTATAAACCCAGTGCATATAATCCCATTTTGCAACAGTATAGCACTTTGTAGATTAAAAGGTAATGCCATCTGTATTATCTCCTGTAATCCTCACAACACTCTGAAGAATATAGAGTCATTTATGGATGAAGAAACAGGGGCTCAAAGAAGTTAGATGACTTGCCCAAGTTCACAGGGCTGAGAAGACAAAGGGCAAACTTGAATTCGTGTCTTCTGACTCTAAGTCACTGTACTCATGATGCCACAGCTGACAAGCAGCACAGCGCCTTAGAAAACGAGATGGACACCCCCAGTTTGGTACCTTGACTCACTGCTCAGGAGGCTGAGGTCTGGAGTTCTGTTGGATGTAGACCAGTACTTACTAAGTTTGAAAAAGAGTTGTAGATGGCTTTTTCAAAAGGCATTCAGACAGTAAAGCTGTTTGGTTTTTTATTTTTGCTTTTTGGTTTTTTTAGGAGCATCAATCTTACAAGCCAAGAAGGCTAATATTTTAGCTGTGACAAAGTATCAGATTTGACTCCAAGCTTCCTGGAAGCAAAAATAGAAACATAGAGGGCTGCACACTGCCCATTACCTGGTGAGAAAGACACAGTTTTTTATAATATAGATTCAAAATAAGTGACTCATCTGGAATTAAATGGAAGGCCCCCTCACGATGACTGTTTCTGACACAGAGGGGAAGTGAAAGTAGGGGGAAGAGTGAAAGTGGAACCCTGTGGAGCCCGGTCAGACGGGAAGTGGGAACTACAAAAGAATGTCGCTGGGCAGACTAATCAGACTGATGGTTTTGTGGAAGAGTGAAGTGGAAGTGCCCCCCTTATGCTTTAGCCCCCAGCTCCCGGACTTGCACCCCCCACCACCACATGCTTTCCTTTGCCATTTTTATCCTTTCGATAAAAGTTGTGTCCGTGTTCCTAGGGAAGGTTACGCACTCTAGATGAACGTGCAAGAGGCAGTTAAATAGGCTGACTGTGGGATGT